CTTTTTAGAAGTCATAATTGTGATCTAATTAAAATAATATATAAAGTACATTAATATTATGTATACCTAGTGTATACAAGCATTGTAATTTGAAAGTTTAAAAATTTGAGTAGTGCACCAAATAAAAATTAGATCATTTTAATATTTTCATTTTACACGTTACATCAAACAACAATATTTGTAAATTAAATTTGAAGTTATAAATTAGCAATTACCTTACGTCCTTACTATCTTGTTAAGGTTTTCGGTATTCGTGTAGCGAATTAAGCAAATATTATATCAAAGCCGTCAATAACAAACTGCAAATTATTACGGACGACGAACACACTACGCAGAATACCTACTATAATGTCAATAATAGTCGGCGTACCTACTAATATAATCATATGTTACGTCGTTATCGTCGTTATTGCCGTCGTCGGATTTATTGTCGTTGGACGGCGACGACACAACAAAAATAACCAAAAGTTAAATCCAAGTTATTTATATAATCAATGTTGTATATATTTTTTTTTTATAATAGAAACATTAAAAACCCATAATATAAAATGAAAATTCTCTTTCTTGGTACCTATGTATCAAGTTATTTATGAGTTTTTAAATTTTTTTCTGGGGGGGGTCGAGACCCGAGACCCCCCTGTAAATACTCCACTGAGTGAAACAACAATATATAATTAAATACAAAAATGTCCCAGAATCTCCGATAACTTAAAGCAGCACATAGACTCTGTATCCGAGTTGATCTCACGTCCCCTAAAAGCTCTAATCATAATAATATACAGATTTTAGTATCTAAATATTATTGGCACAGGTGGAACTAGGAATTATCACACCCGGAGAAAATGTTAAAATCACGCCCTATCATAAACCGATAATCAAATACTCTTTTGGAGATTTTTTTTCTTATAACTGATTTACAATTATACTTATTAGGTCTTAACCTAATATCAGTATTTCACGGAGTTAAAAATATCATATTAACTGTGAATAGTTATAAAAATTACACTATCTAAAGTCTTATGCCCGGGGATGAATCCCCGTCTTCTACCCCCTAGTTCCGCTCCCGACTATTGGGCTAAGGCACTGCAGGCTTAACCTCGATATTCTATAATTGCTAAAACATCTTAACCACAATACTTAGGTTTAGTATTTTATTATAAGGTAGTTTACCATTAAATACCATAACCACCATTAGGTCCTGTTTTTGGTTTATTACAGGGCAATGGAACTGTCTTTTAAAGTTTAAATAAAAGCAGGGCCGTGGAGAAAGAAACCTGAACCCGGGGGTATATCTTAATTTTTTCTGCAGTGTTCATTAAATTCTTATCATTATCTTTAATTGGGTTTAATTTTTAATAATTTAAATTTCTTAATTTCCAGGCCCTCTCAAAAATTCCGGGCCCGGGGGAATCATCCCTTCCACCCTTCTCGTCAGGCCTAATCATAAGAAATTAATATTAAGTACAATATATACAAAAAAATATAAAAATTTTATAATTATTTATTCTTAAGAATTAAGATACTGTTATGAACCCTTGAAAAATATGATTATAATTTTAAGATGAATGTACGGGTATTTGATTACATTGTAACCTGATTGTATGCGTATGTCTATATACAATATTATTTCCCCATACGACTTTCTAAGGAATCTGCTGATTCAAGCATTGAGACCGGACGACCAGCTCGTATGAATAAGACACACGACACATAAGTCAGTCCAGGGATAGACACAGAGCATTCTCGTCGTTCAGAATATTACAGAGCATTACGTAATGTTGATACCTATAACTATAATTTTTTTTAGTGTTAAAATCGTTTCTTTTGTGTTTAATTGTGTACCAAATACATTTCAAAGTAACCTTTTAACAACTTGTGTATTGGTTTAATTTATTTACATTCGGACAACTAAGTGTGTCCGTAACAATACATATATGTTCTAAGTATTTTTGTTTTTTAATAACCGGATTGAACAACGGGAACAATTTCTTCTTTTCGGACGTCATAATAACTTATGTGTACGAAATATGAAAACTAAAAATATCGCAATATTCAATAATAAATTATTGGACAATGCACGTATAAAAGTCTTGCCGTCTTGACGACATAAAATGTTTTTAGTAAAATCTATTAGTCAATCTCAGAACTCGGCATACGCAGAAAAATAGAACAAAATAACCAATTTGATAAAAAAAAATTACTATCAAACAAATTGATGAGAATTAAGAGCAAAAGCAAATTCAATGAATTTTTCATACGTATAAAATAAACAATATTATAATTATGTAAAACCTTGATACGCCCAATAGGGGGCATTTCCCTTCTCATGGCTATGCCACTGTTTCCGTGCTATATTACTACAATAAACATAAATAGGCATTATAAAAATAGTAATATACACTATTAATTTTACGTATACACAAATACGCAATAATCTTATTATGATATATTATAATTAGATTATGGCGTATTCTATGTATACATAAGACAACGTACTTCAAATTGCATGTTAATGTGACAACTAATTTATCTTCAAAATCTTTAAAGTCAAATAAAATAACATAAGAACACATAAGGCCTAATTATTTTAGTTTTTTTTTTAATTACTTAATTATACAATCTATTACATATACTCTGATCATTAGAAATACAAGAATTACAGAATAAAGAAATCTTTCATTGAAGGCACTTTGACAGTTAGTTACAATTCAAATAAATTATAAAGATGTTTTTATAACTTTAGGGGTTTTTAATTTACGTGTGTAGGTTACAGCCAATATCGTATATAGGTTTTCATTTCGGAGGGGGCCGATTATGTATTTGATTTTTGGGTGGAAGGGAAGAAGGAAGCAAACTATTACGAAAAAAATTACATTAACGCTATAAGACTTCTCGACTGTCTTTACACCATCAGAGAAATAAAAAACTCAATTTTTTTATGATTTATTATTTTTTAAAAGTATAAAAACTACATTGTAATAAACAAATTTTTTATTAGTCACTCAAAATTCACCACATATTTTCTTAAAAGAATAAACATATTTTATAAATATAAAATTTTAAATTATCGTATAAGTGATAAATAGGTTTGTTCGTTTAGGAAAAAAAGTGTACACTAATTAGTGTAGTATCTGGGTGAAGTGTAAGGAGTGTGATCAGATACCTGTCTTCAAAACAAACGGTTTTGGTGTGGATTAATCAGCTGATCTTTTTTATCGATTTTAATAATTGATAATAATTTATTTCTATCGGCAGTAGAATTGAACAATAGTTAATTAAACTTTTTGTATAATATTTAATATTAATAATTAACAATTATAATATTAAGAAATAGAAATACAAAAATTGTACGTGATGTAGTTTTATGACTCTCCGATGACGACGATGATGGTTGTTCAAATTATTTTTATATATTATTTATAATTAAATATATATAAATATAATAAAATATAATATAAAAATATCATATATTATATATATTTTATTATTTTTATAACTCAACCACAGTATTCGTGAGTCCAAATACTATAAACGATTATAATAGTCGGTATTTGGTATTTAGTATTTGGTGAGTCATGTTTCGACATTTATTTGAAATTTCAGATTAAACTATTAGCTTATAAGGCTTAATTTGATAACGATCAACGCTACCTACAATATAAACGCTGTGCCTACACTTACACTTGGGTCAGTGTGAAAAAAGTGTTCACTAATGTTACATTTTTTTAAAACAAACGCTTTGGTGTACACTTGTTGTGAAAAAATGTACACTTTTTGACAAAACGAACAAACCTATTCTCAGTGTCTTGACACATTTTGGGAAACCACCAGCATTTGAACATATCCATGTTAAAAACTACAATCTTTAACAATGGTGTTTTTCATTTTGAAGGGGGCCCGGGCCCCTTCCTCCCATAAATACGCCCCTGGGTACAGATGAGTAGTACACTACCGTTTGTTTTTTGAGAATTACCAGGGATGTGTGCAAGACTTTTTATTAAAGGATTTGAATGGTTTTGGAGAAAGTTATTCAAGTTATAGATTATTTCATATTTAATTTTTATTTCTTATTAAAAAGGAAAATTTATATATGATGCCTTTATAAATTCAAGTGATAACCTTTATTATTGGTAAATATTATATTTACATGTACTATACAACATTTATAATCATTGAAATGTATTACACATCATCTGATACACTATAATTGTAAATGTACAACTAATATATACATATATTTGGAGGGGTCAGTGCTTGGCTTGGCAAAATTAAAGAAGAGGGACTCTATTTACTTTAAAAAAAGAACGTCCCCAAAACTGGCTGAGCGTTATGATTATAGCGTAATAATAGTAGGAGGACACCAAAATTTCTGAAAATTAGTTGGGGTACTCCGTCCCCCTGCGTCCCCCCTCAAGTCGAGCATTGAGAGGTGTTACGGGGATAAGAATCTACACTCGGGGATGAATATTTTTCAATTATTATATTTCTTTTATCTTTTATGATTATTTAAAATTCTCAAAAGCTTACAGTAATGAATATTTTAGCCTAATTATATTTATCTTGATTGAACTGCGTTATAGCTAAATATAATTAATTAATTATTATTATGTTTATTACTCGAACAGCCAGCAATGAACCGGTTTCATCGCGAAAAAGTGCACGTGTTGAGGATGAGCGAATACGGTATCGCTACAACAATATAATTAAACCGTCGGTCGATACTTGTCACCGTTACAGTCTGTAACTTACAGGTATACTCATATACTATTTTAACAAGCCTCTTGTACACACGCACAGACACAGTACGATTCGACCTTTAAATATCCGTGCACGTACCTGCATTATATTATGTACAAACGTTTATTTCCTGATGATAGATAATTGTACGGATAGTGTAATTGTTAATCAAAATCCGAGTTTCCGATTGAACGCGCTCGTGGAGGACGTCACACAATTTTATAATATATTTGTATGTATATTATAATGTTATATTATATCATTACTGCACAATTTTACGCGTTCGTATACGATTTGAACGATATGTAATAATAATAGATTATTGTTATTTTTTTTCTGTTTATTTTGCGCTTCTCATTCCGTGCTTGTGATCGGGCGCGCGCGCGCGTAAAATTCGAGTCTCACGGCGACCGGTCGACGACGCACCTTGCTCTGGCGACGAGCTCGTATTGTTGTTGTTTCGCACACCGCGCACGTTCATATCGTTTGCCGCCACAGCTACGCACATCACATAATACGCGCGACCGTAACGCATCGCGTACCGACACTGGGATTGCCGTTAAAGGCACATGCTCGCTTTATAAATATTAATTATTAATTTATACAAATCATTTATTAACTTGCACGAATACTATGACGTCGCTCCGCACATCGCCGGTACAACCGATCGTGACCGACAGCAGTAGTCCGCCAAACGAATCCGACATGGAAACATCCTCGCTGCAGCAGCAGCAGCAGCAGCCGCCGACGCTTGCGTCATCGTCTCCCAAGTCTACCGACGCAAGTCACATCGAAGACGTGACGGACTCCACGCAAACTATGACTGTGGAGGCGGTGACGGCTGCGGGGGCGGCGAGGGCCGATGGAGAGAAGATCACAGATGTGGCGTTAGAAGCGACCATGGTTGATGTGTTGGATTTGAAGACGCTAGCCTCTAACAAGAATACCGTGGTAGTGTGCAATCAAACGAAAGAGGTAAGTGTCACACTGTTATCCATAAGCTTGAACGACAGTTTTTGTGGTATAATTACTGCAACAGCGCATCGTTGGAGTTTAAAGGCTTCCGAGTTGGACTACAACTGTTACGGATGTTCTAACTTTTTGGCATTCATTACCTTTTTTATCTTAATTTTCGGAGCTTAAGTAACAACCTAATGTATTAAATATTCTTGTAATCAACATTTCAGTATAAAACTAATTTACCTTTTTAAGTTAAACATTAAAAAAAAGAAACAAAATTCGTCGGTTAGATTTTCAATACAAACGACCGTTAAATTCACCACTAATCGTACATAATGAAAATGAGCACGCAATGTAATTAATTTTATAATATAGTAAAATTTAAGAAACAGAAAATTATTTTTAACTGGTTATATTGCAGGACGTATTTTTAATGTGGGGACATTTTTTCACTTGTTTAAAATTTCAAATTTATTTCAATACCCCGAGTCTAATTATAAAAATGGTGTGGTTTAAGAACTCTTTTCTTAGCATTTCTTATGATACTATGATATCTTCATATTATATTGTTAAACAAGATGCAAGTGTACTCCGATTCCGATAAAAAACAAAACTTTTAAACACAAATAAAATAAAATAGATAATCTTTGATTTATTTAAATGTATTCAACATAATAATATGAAATCAAATCTGCCAAACTATTAGTTAAGTTAATATTTCTTTGATCCTTTACGGTTCGTTTAGTACAGTTATTACTTGTATATATTCGTAATACATACTCTATTTCTTGAGAAGTGAAGCTTTTCATAGATGGTAAAAATAATGGAAATTTTATTAAATTTGTGATATATTTACAAATATCGCAATATACACTTTGTTGTATTTAAAATTTGAAGCCCTCAGGCAAAATATTTTCACTTTTTATAATTTTTTTCTAAAGAAATTATGAGATGTTGTGCTTTAATAAACTACTATCATAATGATTTAATGTATTTGCGAGCAGAATTCATACTTTAATTTAATTTTATTTTGAATTTTGAAGTATGCTATTTATTTTTTATTATTAAAAGTCATTCACAAGTCATTCATTATCACTTTTTATTTTAAGATATTCAGATTATAATTATATGTTTTTTTTAAAACTTTTTTAGGATTTCGGAGACAAAAATAATGAAATCATCCTCAGCGTTAGATCACAATTACAGGTAATTTCTAAAAATAAGTATAATTTCTTCGTATAGAATACTATACCTAACGCTTTAGATGTTTAAAGATTTGACCAAAATATATATAAATATCTGCTACATTTTGTTGGGATAGATTTTTAATAATTTTCTTCATGACTACGTATATGATAATGAAATCATCATGATGATAATCATCATAATGAAAGCATATTGTGTATGTTTAGATCTACTTGTATAAAAAAAATTGATTATGTTGATTTTGAATTTTTTTTATACTTTATTGTTTTATTTATATTAATTATTAGTCTTGTACTATGTAACATATTTTATATTGAATATGCAATTGTTTTTATTTATATAAATTACCCATCCATTGAAGAATAATTTGTTATCGGTAAATAGTTCAATGTAATATTATTGCGTGTGGTTGAAGGGTTCTTTTTAAATTTAAAAGAAGTATCTATATGATAAATTATAACAATATAACCAAAACAATTTTAAAATGTGCATTATGGATTCATTTTTGTTAAATAATAGATAAAGAATTTTAGATTTGTAATAGGTTTATGGGGTGAGGGGTGAATCGTGACTTCCTAAGTGTTGCATCGCTTCCATTTTACTACTGATTTATTAGATGAGAGTGATGGAAACATTATTTTACAGTTGGTACTAGCATTGGTTATAGATAATAGTAGACTATATTTATGTTCTAAAAACAATGATACTCAGTAATAGATAATCTACGGCAGTGGTTCCCAAACTTTTATAACCACGAAACCCTAAGAAAAGTTTTGTTTCATAGAATTCCTATGTCTCTAACTCCAACTTTACCTCAATATTCTAATTATTTATTGAAAAACCAATATTTCAAAAAATGTTTTAAGGATCCTTAGGTTCCGCGGAACATATTTCGGGAATCTTTGGTCTACGGTATAAAACGAATAAAAGCAATCAAATATAACACTTTGTTGTGATCATTTTATAATTTATATAATTAACAGTCTTCCAATGGCGGATTTAAAAAAAAAAGAATCAACCTTCCACCTATATTTCCAATTTTAACTTGAGGTTTTAAGTCCATCATAACAATATTTTACAATGATATTATTATTATAAGTTATATAAAATATACAATATACGACTATTTAAATTGGAAAACGGTGTTGTGCTATCAATTATAATATGGTATTCGTATAAATTATTATAATTGCTGTCATTATTACATAATAACGTATAAACAATTATCACTACGTGGTAAGAAACTAGTATTAAAATTATATAAATATTCGATTATTTAATTAACGAAGTTGGTAAGTCCATCAGTAGGTGTCCTTTACAGTGGTTGATTAAGAAAATGATTCGCGTAGTGTATTTTTATAACCGAATGATGTATTAACATTTTCCAGTTAAACATGAAAGCTTAACAATCATTATTAAGGTAAAAACATTATATTAAAATAAATTTGGAACCAATCCTAAAACCATTGCATTTTCAATAATTATTTTGTAAATTAAATTATTTTTACTTTATAAAACATTTCCGTGCAGTGTAATAAATTTTCTGAAATAATTAGATGCAGGTATCAGATTCATAAATATGATCCAACCAACTGTTAGATGAAGTTGAAGGTTATTATCTTCACAGATAATGTATTTAATTGAATTAAAGAGTTATTTCATATATGCATGATTATTTGAGAGTCATTTATACTTTTGTTTTAGACTTAGCATTTTAATAAAAAAAATTGTATTGGGTTGTATTATGCGCGGATCCAAATAGAGGTAATGTGAACGACGTTTTAGGCTTTAATAAGATTATCTTGTAGAACTAATACTCTATACTTATTATAAGTTACCTCCTTAACAGTTTAATTTATAAAAGTAAGAAACTTTTTTCTCAACACAAAATCAAATATTTCTGCGTCACGCCTAGGTTAACATAATTTATCTGAATACAAAATTAATTGTTGTTTATTATTTAATTTTATTATAAATATAAAACTAATATCTATTTAAACATTTTAGGTGAATGATGATAAAGAAATTAAGAATACGACTAAAAAACAACAACAACAAGAAAAGAAAAAGGTTAGTGAAGTATGCCTTGTATACATTCAGTATTAAATTAACTATATTATATATCTAAAATCAATTTTTTGCAACAATAATTATAATTTACATATTAGGTATATAATTATTAATTAGTAAAATGTATACTACAATTTACATACAATATGTATGTTCCATGAACATTTTTAAAATTAGTTATAAAATATATATACAGGCAGTGGCATATTTCCAAATTTTTTGTGGGAGAGGGTTAAAGTTTTCTAAAAAATAAGTGATTTTATAATATTATAAAAGTACATATAAAGTATGAATTAATAATTATATTATTTCATTATTATTATAAATACAAAAGAAAAATTATTTACAACCATATGAAATAAACTAATGTTATTTTTCTCTGTGCCTTCATAGCAAGTCATTTATGATTTTTTAAATTTTTTTTCCGGGGGGGCGGGGTCGATACTTGGAACCTCCCTGAAAATAGACTACTAATTAATTTGATGAAAATAATATATTCAAAAGGAAATAACAACATTAATGCAAAAAATTATGTACCTAATTTATAATGTTTATATATACTAAATGTTCTTTTCGTTTTGTTTTTTATTTTATTTTAAATTTATAAAGAAAGGTTTTTAATTTTCAACTTATAAGATTTATATAATAGATTTATATTTTTGATATTTTCTAAATAATTAATCTAACTTAGCTTAAACATTAATAGTCTTGTGTTTTATCAAGAAATCTTGTATGAACATTTGATATATATTTGTTTGATGGACCGAATAATAATACGTTGATTATAGGACATTTTTAAAATAAATAATATGCATAAAAGCCAAAGGAATATTTTGGTCTTAGGAAGATTACATAGTAATGAGATGGCACTGTGTCGCTGCCTAAGGTAGGATTAGGAGAGTCGAGGGAATTTTAGACGATGGTAAAACAGACGAGACTATATAATTATGACAAGAAAATCAATTTTTTTGGCATTCAAAATGTGGTTACAAACTCTAAAGAAACGCTCTCTTTCTCTCTCTCTGATATAATGAGGCCAAAGAAAACTTATTATAGTGGAAATATATATGCCAAAAGATTGACCACATGCAAAATTGAACGATGATAGCAGAATAATAGAGTAAAGCTGAACGTTAGTATAACACATAATGAATGAATAAAATGCGTGTAGTTGAGATTGAATAAATTGTAGATTAGTAAAATTATGGCGTAATATTCAATGGTTTAAATCAGAGCTATACATTTCATATTTTTTTAAATTGCCTTTGTTTATAAAAAAAAAAATTGACACAACGATTATATGTACGATGTTTGGGTTGACATAGAGGTGAGGAGTTTTAATATTGAACTCAATTATTGAATATTTCAGTGTCCAAACATAATTTATATTAAATTGTTGTTGAAAATATAAAATAATATCTATTGCATTGTGTACGAGCATATTTGTTTTTATTTTCAAGATCAACTTATGATAGTAGTTATTATTGTATGTAGTCTTTAACTGTTGTATTTGTGTAATGTAAAATTAAAACGATAAAAAAGTAATTAAATTTTACAAAATAAAAATAAAAACTTGGTTGATGTATTTTTATCAATAATATAAAATATGATTAGTATTTTTAAGTTGCCGGTACATTTTAATTAACATCATAATTGTTTTCAGAATAATTACAAAATTAGAATTAAGTATCATTTCATTAATAACATCTAATAATATAATATGCACAATATCAATAAAATATTTCACTATTTTTTGTGAAAATTTGTTTTTTATATTTGAATAAGTAGATAGTTGTTAACATAGGCGTAAATTGGGGGGGCACAAGGTGGCAATTGTTCCCCTGGAATAAATAAGGAGTAGTAGTGCCCCTTCTGATATTTAACATACCTTGTTTTAAAATAAGTACAAAACAGCTAGTTATATAGCTATTACTATATATTTTTTTTTTAAATCTTAATTTTCAATTTTCGCTTATCTAACATAATGTTAGAAAATGAATAATTTTGTATAATAATATGTAGGTAATAAAGCGGCATATAGCCGTGGACAGGATTGAACTAGGCCACCGGAGCACCGGGGCATGCCCCGGTGGGCTGCTGTAATTTTGATTAAATAAAATTAATTAGATTTTTTGTTTTTAATTTTATAATTTTAATTTTTGCGTCTATCTTCTATATGTACAATATGTTAATCATACCAAGTACCGTTCGTGTTTGTTCAAACAACATTTAACCAAAAGAAAATGTTGGTATGGGTAGACACGGTTGAGCAAGATATGCGATAACGAAATTGTTTTTCGATAGTAATGATTTTTATAAGATTTATTAGACTTTTATTTAAAAACATTTTAATAGTTTTGACTTTCAGTTAATAAAATTAATAAAAAGTCTGTTACTAGTTTCCAACCTTTCTGTTGATTTCAAGTCAATTATTACTGGTAAGCAATTATTTTATTAAAAACAATACGTTTTCTAACTCAGTGGTCAGCAATCTTTATAGACCTTCATTCATAATTCACAAATTAAAAATCGTTCTAGGGTCAGACAATATAAAAAATTTATATAATATTCAATGACATTTGCTAGTTTTGAAATTTACTACGGGCCGCATAAAAGTGACATTAGTTGCCAACCCCACTGTTCTAACTCAATTAAAATTAAATGTATAAACATTTAATTTAAATAATTTTTTATGGTGTAAAATTTATCTTAATAGGTAGTTCATTATGTTAATACTATAGATAAGATATATTATGCGTAAACTAGATTTATTTAAGGTATAACATTAAATCTGAAAATATTCAAATGTAGTTGTGTGTATATTGTTTTTTGAGTTACGAAGATACATTTTCAGTTAAACAATAATTTGATTAGGTACCTACTTATTCCATTTATTATTGTACTTATTCTTCTATTGAGGCCGTTTGAAATTATTTTGCCCGGGCCGAGCTATAGAACTAGTCCAACCCTGGCCGCGGATACCCTTTTCGTTAGATGTGTAATTATGTATTTGTCCCTCATAATACATTTCTAAGTTACGCCCATGGTTATTAACTAGTATCGTAATCAATAGTAATATAAGAAATTCAGACTTACTCACCATCATTTCAAAAAAATCCAGGGAAAAATACCTAGAATTAGGTGTTAAGTCTCCATATACTGTTTGGCCATTGGCACAGAATCATTGCAGTATTATATTCATAGTATGAACTGCAAAGTATATTTTATTATTTAATATTGTGAACGCTATTACATACTTCAGGTTTTATTTAATTAAATATACCTATTTAAACTTTATAATATATGTATGTATAACATTCGTTACTTGTGAGTAGGTATTGTTTTTAAAAATGTATGTTCAATTCAATGTTGGTAATTCTGTTAGGCAAGTGATACTGGACAGAATATGTGTTAAACACGTTGATAGTGATGATAAGTCGGTACTCCTAAAATGTAGGTGGGCAAATCAAAACTATCATTTTGTATATATGAAAAGTAAACCGTGAAATTCGTTAATATGTGTAGCTAATTATTTTTAAAATGTGTTCCTTAAAATGCACTCAAAATATATTTTAGTTGAATTTTTTACACATTTTTTTGATGCGTAATTGATTTATTTTAAGTATGTTATTTTACAAATTTCTTAGCAGTTATAAGTGGTAATTGTGTATAGAAATTTCTTATACTGATATAATGAACTCTAAGTATAAAATAACTAGCAAATTTAGCAATGAATCTTTACATTCACTTTTAGATCATGAATCACATAATAGTCAATCTGGTTCAAATTTTGTACGTCTTTACACTATAATGCCAATTAATATAAGTATTTGTAGGTACACCTTAATCATTATTTTATTATTATATTAGGCAATAGCAGAACACGAAAAAATGTGGCTTACGACGAAAGAAGCTAGTGCAATAAGCGCTGAAGATGTAGTATCTAGATTGAGAGTTAGCTACAGAAGTGGATTATCTTGGAAGGAATCTGAATTTAGAAGACAAATGACTGGATACAATGAATTCTCTGTTCATCAGGGTGATCCATTATGGAAAAAATACATAGAACAGGTAATATATGTATAAATATATTTATGTAAAAATAAAAAATCTATCTTAAAGATAGAATTGTCAAATACCTAAAACATATTTTGTTTTAGAAAAGTTTGTTACTTATTCTATTCAATACTATTGAATATTCAATACTATATATATAAGACAGAATTAATTAAAATAATTATTCTAAACTAATTTTTGTATTATTATAGGTCAGCCTTAGTTAGGTTTCACTGTTTTTATTGATGTTAAACAATATAAATGCAAAGGCTTACCTGAAGTTTGTATACTTTTTAAAATAAATTATTTATACACCTATTACTTAAAAGATAATTTGTAACAGATTTACTGTAAATAATTTATTTCATATTTAATTAATAAATTAAATAAATGTAATATTTCCCAATAAATAATTTAAAATTAGTATACAAATTTGTATTTTTATTCTAAGAGATAAATACTTATTTTTACATACAATTATTTAGTGACTTATGCATATAAATTTTAATTCCTTATAACTATTTATTATTCAGTATATTTATTATAATGTATTTATTTATATTTATATATAAAAAATTATAAAATATAAAGATTAATTTTGTATCTATAACACTAATGACAATTTAATATTAATTGTAATTGTATTTATTTGTTTCAGTTCAGAAATCCATTGATACTTCTTTTACTAGCATCAGCTTTAGTTAGTGTGTGTATGAAACAATTTGATGATGCTTTCAGTATTACTACGGTATATATATATATATATACATTTATTTAGCCATAAAAAATAGTTATTTGTTGATGTAAAATACTTGAAACATTGTTTATATACTATTAATATATTGAAATAACTTAAATTTAAAATGAAAATAAAAATTATTTGTATAAATTAACATTAAAATATAGTAAAACTTAAAAGGAACGCAAAATATAATTGTGGTTTTTGATAGTTTGAGTTATAAAGACTTAACAATAATATAGTCCTTTAAAATATTAATATAAATTTTTTATTCAAAAGTATTAAGTAATAATAAATATCTGGTTTATGATATATAAATAAAAGTTGTATTGTATGGGTTTTCTAGGTTTATTGTTTTTTAATTATTACTCAACAAATATATTAAATTATTTATTTATTATTTATTTTCAGGCTATTGTCATTGTTGTTACAGTTGCCTTCATACAAGAATATAGGTCTGAAAAGTCATTGGAAGAGTTAACTAAACTAGTTCCTCCCACATGTCGATGGTTAGTATTTAAATCAGCAATATTTATATTATAATATATGCGTTACATTTATTGGCGATGAATACCTTATTACCAATAATAATCTAGTTAAGTTACAAATTAAGTTTGTAATATAATTGTTTTTCTATTTCAGCCTTAGAGAAGAACAATTAGAATCTATGTATGCTCGATCATTAGTACCGGGTGATATTGTTTATCTAAGCACTGGTGATAGAGTCCCTGCTGATATAAGACTGTTTGAGGTAAAAATATGATTTGTTCATTAATTAATTAATATAAATATAATACAGTCCAGTTGCCATAACTTGAAATATTTTTTTTTCTTTTCTAATTTGTAGTTTTAACCTAAATGTAATTCAAAATTTTAAATTAACAAAATCATTATTGAACATTCGTATTGTAGGCAATAGATTTAGCAGTTGATGAAAGTAGTTTTACTGGTGAAACCGAGCCATGTATGAAAACCACAGAATTGGTATTGAATCCCATGAGTCACACATCGATGAAAAATATAGCATTCATGGGTACATTGGTACGATGTGGAAATGGCAAAGGTATTGTAGTAAATACAGGAGAAAAGTCAGAGTTTGGTGAACTTTTCAAATTAATGCAAAGCGAAGAAGCACCCAAAACACCATTGCAAAACAGCATGGATATCCTGGGTACACAATTGTCTGTCTATTCATTTTTCATTATTGGTTTAATCATGATGCTTGGATGGATTCAAGGTCGACCTATTTTAGATATGTTTACTATTGGTGTGAGGTAAAAAAAAAAATGTAACTTTTTAGTACTGAAATGAGAAAGTTAAATAATATTTTTACTGTTAAAGTTTGGCAGTAGCAGCTATACCTGAAGGATTACCAATAGTTGTAACTGTGACCTTAGCACTTGGTGTAATGCGTATGGCTAATAGAAAAGCTATTGTGAAAAAACTACCAACTGTTGAAACTTTAGGTAATTATTTTTATTTGTTGTAATAAAGATATTACATTATTATTATTATTATTATTATTATTATTTATTAAAAGAAGTTATGTATACATTAAAAAATACGTAAAAAAAGAATTTAAACTAATTAGTGTTATGTGTATTATCCCTTCATTTATTATAAATATGATTTTTATAAATTAAAAAATAGAAATAAAAATATTTAGAGCTATAATATCATATATTTTATAAATAAGTACATTAATTAATTTTCTAAAGAATATTATTTAATACATAAAAAACTTGTGACTTTTTATTAGTTTATCTTATAAAATAATTCAAATTATTTTTATCAATTAGTAATAATGAAATCAAGTTTTTCCTTGAATTTGAAAACATTTTAATGTTAAATTAACTTTTTTATTTATTTTTTTAACAATCATATTTTGTTTTAAAAATCTAATTATGACTTGATTATTGATGTAAGTTTTTACTGTAAAGTTAAAACGTAATCAAATTAAAATACAAAATAGAATATTCTAAAAATAAACTGATATCAATATTTAAGTTATAATTAACATGTTTACTATGCTTTATATTTTTAATGATATACTGTGACGCAATTTAATTTTTCAAATAATTTAAAAACATTTTAAAACCAAACTATAAATTTAGACCTTATAATACTTGTTTTTGCAAATAGTATGTATTTATTCTTGTAATGATAACCAAATTTGAGATTTATTATCAATGCTTACTTTATAATCTATATAAAATTCGGTATACAAATTATACTCATTGATATTTTCGGTATTCAAACAATTACTTTTGATATAAATTGGTATCTCCTATAGTGAATATGCCAATAAATTTTAATTATTTTTATAGTATTTTTTCTCTTTACTAGGATGTGTTAATATAATATGTTCTGATAAAACTGGTACAATAACAAATAATGAAATGACTGTTACTACAATTATTACATCCGATGGATATTATGCTGATGTAAGTTTTTAATTAATTCTTTTCATATAAAACATATTTTTTATAGTAATAAATTAAAATTATTGTATTATTAATTTTGTATATATATGTTTGAATATTGTTTATTAAATCTATAGTTATGTACTATTCAAATTTAACTAAACTTCAAATATTTTATTAGATGTTTAAATATTTATGATCTAGGTTTCTGGGACTGGTTATAATGATCAAGGTGAAGTTCATTTACTTAAATCTTACTCTTCAGAACAAGCTAAAGAAGCTATATATAATTTATTAGAAGTATGTTTTATAGTTAATATATTATTTAAGTAGGTTACATTCTATTTTTTTGAAATCTAGCTTTTGTTTATGTCAGAACTTGATTATTATTAAAGTTTACTATTGTTGAACATTTAAAGCAGAAGCTACTATAAATATATTTGATTGATGCATAATTTATTACTTAAATTAGCAATTTTTCTAATTTCCTAGTTTTTATTATATTTTCTATTGGTTTCTAGAATTCTCAATTTGTACGGAGATAATATTTTTTTTATTTGTAGGTTGGAGTTATTTGTAATAACGCAACTATCAATGGAGATACATTGCAAGGGCAACCTACTGAAGGAGCTCTTTTAGCAGTAGCTATGAAGGTATTATTTAATTTGTATAAATTTGTTTTATGTGTTAGTATTCTTATTGCAATTTTAAATTTTAATTTTAGTATAGAATGTATGGTGTCAGTGACAAATATATAAAACTTCAAGAATATCCATTTAGTTCTGAACAGAAACTTATGGCTGTAAAATGTGTAAATAAATATGATGATGTAAGCATTAAAACATTATAATTTATCATTTTATTTATAATTTTTTTTATATAAGAAAAAAATGCTAAATTTAAAACTTATAGGTAAAAGAAGAAATTTATTTTGTCAAAGGGGCTTTAGAAAAAGTTTTAAAACAATGTACAAAATTTTCTAATGGAAATGAAAAAGTATTACTTAGTAGTAAGAAAGAACAAGAAATATTTACTGAAGCGTATGAAATTGGTAGAAAAGGGCTCAGAGGTATGTTTTGTTATTAATAATGTAATTTTTTTTTTTTTAATATTTATAAATTTGTTTAGTCATTGCATTAGCCAAAGGAGATTCATTACAAGATCTAGTGTACTTAGGATTAGTTGGTATTTGTGATCCTCCTAAGCCATTTGTTCGAGAATCAATAGAACAGTTATTTAATTGTGGGGTAAAAGTAAAATTGGTCACTGGAGATGCTCAAGAAACTGCAGTTGCTATTGGTGTGTAGAACCTATAAAACATTATTTATAAGTAGAATAAAATCATTTATACTTTAATTTTTAATATATTTATAGGAAGTATGATTGGCTTAGATATGATTCATAGCCAAACTTTATCTGGTCAACAAATTGATAATATGTCTGATCATCAACTAAAATCTATGGTAAACAATGTATCTGTTTTTTACCGTGTTACACCTCGTCACAAATTAACAATAATCAAGGTACTTTATTCTTTAATTTTTTTAATTTTTTTAAAATTTTACAAAATTGTTATAATTTATTCAATTTTTTTATGAATTAAAAATTATATTTTACCAAATATATATATATATATATATATTCATGTATACTTTCATAAATATATATTTTACATTTAATTTTGTATTTATGAATATTATTAGGCTTTACAAGCAAATGGAAATGTGGTTGGTATGACAGGTGATGGAGTTAATGATAGTGTAGCATTAAAAAAAGCTGACATTGGCATAGCTATGGGTAAAAATGGAACAGATGTGTGCAAAGAAGCATCAGACATGATATTAGTTGATGATGATTTTCAAACAATTGTAGCTGCTATTGAAGAAGGAAAAGGAATATTTTTTAACATTAGGAATTTTGTCAAATTTCAACTTAGTACTAGTATTGCTGCATTATCTCTAATTGCCCTAGCTACCATTTTTAGAATACCTAATCCTCTAAATGCTATGCAAATATTATGGATTAATATAATTATGGATGGACCACCTGCTCAGAGGTAATTTATTTATACTTGTTATTTGTAATCTATTGCTTTTTTTTACAGCGATATAATATTATTAAATGTATTTTTAGTCTTGCAGTCGAACCTGTAGATAAAGATGTTGTAAAACAAGGTCCTCGTAATGTCAAAACCCCCATGATTACAAAAACACTAGTGTTGAATGTTCTTTTTTCAGCATCAATTATTATTGTTGGAACTCTTTGGGTATTTAAACGAGAAGTGAGTGTATATTTTTAAAATTACTGAATATTTTTTTTTTCTTAATAATGACTTACATAAATTAAAATATTTGCTAATTAAGTTTCTTAATGCTACCCACAGAATATTAACTTTGTTAGTATTAAAAAAAAAAAAACATTGTGTTTTATATTATTTTTGATTTTTAGAATAGATTAAAAGTTAATATATAAATAAATAAATTAATAATTTATAAACAGAAATAAATAAATAAAAGCTTAGCCCAGAGTATTATGTTTGTAAAGTACGACTAGTTTTGAATTAAAAATTCATCATCAGGTATATACAAAGTTAATAAAATTACTACTACGTATGAAGAAATAAAATCACAACTCAATATTAATCTTGTATTAATTTTTAATTTTAACTAATTTTTTTATTATTTTTTTATTTATTAAAAGTTTTTGAAATATTGTAATATGATTTCAGATGAGTGACAATGAAGTGACTAAGAGAGATACTACCATGACATTTACTTGTTTTGTCTTCTTTGACATGTTTAATGCCCTTAGTTGTCGTTCACAGGTATAATGATTTTTAAATTTAAGTAAACTTATTCATTGTTATTAATATTATTTATCAGTTATAAAATTAATATTTTTAGACCAAGTCTGTATTTACTATTGGGTTATTCTCTAACAAAATGTTTCTTGTTGCTGTAACACTTTCTATTGTTGGGCAAATGTTAGTGGTATATTTCCCCCCATTACAGAGTGTATTTCAGACAGAAGCACTCACTCTATATGGTAAGAAAAAAAAATATTTATCTTTTAAATTTATAATAAATTATTTTTATATCTTTTTAGACATTTTACTTTTATTGGGCTTAACATCTAGTGTATTTATTGTGTCGGAAGTAAAAAAATTCTTTGAAAGACAATTACTGAAAAGACTTAATAGAACACCTAGAAAACAAATGGCTTTTGTGTAATAATAATACATTTAATCTACATTGTACATGGTTATCATCATCACTGGTATTAAAAACTTTAATAATATTAACTTATTATAAATTATATATGACAATCGAATAGTCATGATACTATGTTCTTACTTTTTTTATATTAAAATTTAAATATCGGTGCAAAATAAATCTCATGCTTTTTAGGTTGTGTATTTGCATATTCTAGTTCCTTTCTTCTATTATTGACTTAAATATTTATTATTATTATTATTATTATTATTATTATTATTATTATTATTGTGAATCCAAAATGTTTATTTTGTTTAATTGTCTGTATTTTATTATTTAATATGATTGCAGTATGTTATACTAGTAGAAATCTATTGTGGTTTAAGAAAAATTAAAACCAATATCATAACGGTTTTGTATAATTATATATTTTTATAAATTAATGTATTTTAAAAGAAATATATTTAAATTATTCATTATTTTAACTGGTTGTTTACTTAATATTGCATGTATCATTGTTTTGGGATGTATAAAATATGAAGCATTAATTTAAATATAATTAAACATAAGCAAATCATTTTTTATAATGTATAATTGTTAATAGTTATAATAATTGTTTCATCACTTTTTTATTGTATATGAATTATGAACAATTTAATATTTGTGTTGTAAAATTACACTAAACGCAATTATTATCAATCATAATACAATATAGTATTTATGAACCTTGGAGCTTCTAATTGTTAATACATATCACCTTTATTACATTTTTTGGTAGCTTTTGATTATTTTTTAAAATGTACAAAAACTGAATGTTAAGTAATTTTAATTTTACTTTAAGTATGCACTGTAATTTATTCCATGTATATTATTGATAATCACAGTATAATTTAATTTTTAGAAATTTTAATTTCTATATTAGCAACTTTTCAGCAATGCATTTCTATCTATAATTTAAATGAATTCAATGAATTTATTAAAATGTAATAAGTTACATTTTTTATGTGCTTTTTTTTTTATAAAATTATACTATGTTTTGATTAACCTTATTTTTTATTACATTAATGATACATTTACTTTTCAACTTATAATGATGGCATATTGTATGCTAAAATTTAGTAATTTCAGCTGAGAGTGCATATCACCTAAAAATGAATTAGCCTTCCCACAAGAGCTATAAATAAATAGTAATATTTGTCATATTTCTTATTTTTATAATTATGTCAATTTTAAATAATAACATTAATAATTAAGTGCAGTGGACTGAAAACAATTATTTCCTGCCCGTTGGTCAGAAAAAGTCATTTTGCATTCGCATCAAAAATTAAACTCACAGTACACTTGTCACATAAAAATTTATTTTTTCTAACTTTAAATTTATTTTTTTTTAATTATGATCATGACACAGCAAGAGAGATGAAACGGATTGCCTAAGGATCAAATTGGCAGCATTCAACTTTGATTTAAAACTCATACCACGGGTAATATTTACTTTTTTGGTAAGCTTAGGTTAAAATGATTTGTTATGATTAGTTAAATTTTGATAGGGTGATTCATTAAGAAAAAAAAAATATTTCTAATATAATTATTTTAATTTAGTTTTTAATATAGCTTAATGAATATTTTTCATTAAACTTCATAAAAGGAAAATGGAAACTGTGATTTATAATATTTATCCATCAAAAATTCTACATAGATACATTTAGATGTTTTATTTTTCTGATGTACAATCATAGAATTAGTTAATAAGTGGTACAATTCTACAATCTAAAGAATTAAACAATAATGGTTTTTTAAATTAGATTTTAATGTTCTGTATAGAATTTATTTGAAATTGACTACACTGATTTTTCAGGTCAATTTCATTCAATTAAATTAAAATTAATAATAAATCTGTTTATATTTCTAAAGATTGTTAATATAACAGTAAAATCTGTATGTATCATTCTCAGTAAAATCAAATTTCTTAATAAGATAGGTCAGGATTTATTTCAAACATTTGTCCCGTGATATTTTAAATTTTCAAGGTGGTTTATCATAGGAGTTATAAATTTTATAAAAAAAAATTATAATTACAATAAATAATAAATTGTATCAAAGGAAATCAATGCAGTTTTTGACGTGCGTACAAATCAATAAACTATTTGTTTATTTATTTATAAAAAAAATATAATTATGTGTGATGGAATTCTGGTATTTTGTTATAATATCGTGCCTAAGAAACATGTTCAGATTAAAAAATTATGCATTTTGTCTTAAATTATTATTTGTGTTAGATTTTTTTTTATTTCTCTCTCTCTTGCATTTATATTTTGATTGCTTGTTTCAAAAATGATGGGGTTTAAACCATTTTTATTACAGTATATTATACAGAAAACATTTCCCTGATGGTGTTTGAAATTTGGTATTTTAGAATTATCAAATTAATGAAAAGATGTACTGATATCTAAAATATTAGGTATTTCATATTTTATGTGTGCAACAATTTTAAAATTATTACAATAAAATATATATTCGTAAATCTACCACAATGCACCACGGAAAATAAAAACATTTTTATTCTTTATATATCGTACTAATTGTGCTTCGGTCGTATAATATAGATTAATAACATAATTTTATTTCAGAAAATGTTTGAATTTCAATGTCAAACCTAAGAAATTAAACTCAAAAAACAAAGAAATTAGGGAAAAGTTGTACAAAGTACAAAAAACCTCACGAAATAACAGAGATTCAGGAAAATTCTATATTCTGAAATTTTTTATGCCGAGATAGGTAACCTAATGTAGAAAAAATTCACAGATTACAGAAATTGACAGTAGAATAAATTGTCCCTGTTAATTATGACAAAGGGTAAGTTTTTGATTTCTATTACGAATCTTATATTATTAAACCAGAAAAATTTAAGAACAATACCTACTATCATCGATTATAAATACTAGTATTTATAATCAATGCTACTACTATTATATTATTTCAATTTAGAAGAAACTATCTTGCCTAAACTTTGGAATATCATTGGAAAAAATCGCTACTACCACTGACGTCAAAATGAAATCTGAAAGCACTCCCAGATCATCAAAGAATTACTGGAAGAAAATGTCTAAATTGATGAAATGCGGTGAAATGCTGTAAAACTAAAGGACTACATTTAGAGGACGACAATATATGTGTTAAAACAAACTCACAAAAAAACTGAATATTTTTTTAAACGTAATATAAATAATGATTTTTCTTTATAATTATGTAAGCGTTTGTTAATTTTATTTAAATCAATAAAATATTAAAATATAAATATACATTATAATTATAAGTAGATACATAGGTATAACATAATTATATTTATAAGTTATATAAGTAAATACATAAGTACATAATATTACTTTTACTTATAAGTAAAATAATAAGTTATAACTTATAACAATTAAATTTCAAATTTTTCATTTTTGCGTCCGGGGCGTAGGCACCTTTAGCCCCCCCCCTTTTCTAGGCCCTGACAGTCAGCACCGGTAATTGCAGCAAGATACTGTTATGACAATGTATACATTCTTATGTACTGTATCAGACCTGCTGTATGTTTGATACGGACCACGCGTTATCGGAGAAAAGGATACTACCTCCTACTATATTATATGCAACTGTCTATATGTTTTTTATATTTTTTATTGACAGCCCGTCAAATTGCTTTCAGGGGTTTGTGTTGTTATCATAATATTGTCCCGTTATTAAATATTACATTTATAAAATATGTACACATTATAGTTGCACACGTGCAATAGGAACAATAGTTTTGGTTGGAAAGGTTTTTTACACAATTCCATAAAATTAATTGAACGACACACACACACAATTACACAAACACACAAAAGCCTATATCGTGCATCAAAATGTTAGGAACACTATCTAGATGAGACGATTTTTAACAATTAGAAAAATAATTATTATTATATTGGTACACATTTGTTCATAGCCATACGTGCGAGCTTGTGTATAAACAATCGAGAAATTTCGGTTTTAATATTATGATAACAATAATTCATTAATTAGTATACTATTAATAATAATAATAATATAGTTATTCAGATAGCTATTAGTAATAAACAGTTGATTGTATTAGTTTTATGAATTTCCCAAGAAGATAATCGTATATATTTTAAATGATTTATGTACACAATTAAATTTATGAAAATATGTGTAATATTACAGTAAATATTAGGTTTCCACGATTGTTCAACCAAATTTTTGTACTATTCAATTTATAGTCGTCGATAGCAAAATGTGTTCTGTTCAATTATTTAATAGTTTTATATATGTAAATCGTAAACTAACAAAATTTGTTTAAGCAATGCGAGCCCGTTGAATGTACAGGTTACCATAGCCAAAAACGCAAGTTAATTTTATATTAATTGTGCGTTAAGAATTCGTACGCAATTAGTTTGCTAACATTGCTGTAATTTTGTACAAACTATTTGTGATAGTGGTGTATGATATATTTGTTATAGATCAATATTTATGACAAAACAGAAGATTTTATTAACTATTTATTTTATTGAACAGAATACCCGTATTGATAATTATTTTTCGTACAAATTAAGGAGACAAACTAAAATAGGAATATAAAAAACAATATAAGCAGCTATTGTAGTACAAAATTATACATAGGTAGCGTAGAATTTACATGTAGGTGCCCATTTTTTAAGTTATAATGTGGGGAGTTAAAAAAAATGTATATCTTACAATTATTTTACGTTTTGATATTAATATTAATAATAATGATATACATTAAATTACAATGATGTTTACTACTGATGTTTCCGACACGTATTCCTGACCTATATAAAATTACAACTGGTTGATCGACCTAAGTAATGACCGACACGAGGTGATTCATCGGTACGTTTCTTACAGACGGTTCGAAGAAAACGATCTTCAGGTATCCCGCTAGGTCGTCGGTGATTGAGAGTATGCACGCCAGTATACCGAAGTATCTGGTCGGCGATTTGAACGACGTATGTTTCATCAACGCGTCCTTGGCGTTGGTCCCGATGACGGTCAAGTCATTCCTGAGATCGACCGAGCTGCACAGATCTGCGAGGAGTGCACAATTAGCAATAATCCACAGTCAATGTACACTAAGTGTTTCCCGAATCTATGTGAACTTTTATTGTGTAAAAACTCACGTGTTACATTGGGTTTGAAACGTATTTTATTATTACGTATGAATGTTCCCAGGTTCAACTAAGTTCTTAATATTGGTAAATAATTTTAAGTAATTGTCACGATGGAAAAAAAAAATCTCAGGAAAAACCAAGGGTGTATACAGAGTGGATTGTCGGATATTGTACTGTTACGTGTACGTAATATGTGTACAAAGATTTACCGGGTCGGCATAAGACGAGCGTCAGCACTAGATTGTATTCGACGGGATCGAGTCTCATGGCCCGATGGCTGGCGATCAGCGTGGCGACAATGTTCTCAACTCTCGAACTGGGCCTATACGACGAGAGAATGATTGAGGGAAAACAACAGATACATCGTATATTATAAATGTTCATGTCGCGTATGGTTACACATAAATCATGATCAATCTCACCCGGATAACAGTGTGATGAGATTTGTCGGCCAGAACGCTGCCAACAGCACGAACGATTGATGCCACGTTCTGTTGAGTATTTCGTTTTGGTCGGCTTTGGGCAATATGGTCATCGGGTCACAAAATCGACACTGCCGTAGACTCGTCAAAAATATTTCGGCGCCGATTTCGAATATGTATTCACCTGTGTCGCGGGACAAATCAGCAAACAAACGTTATCAAAAACGACATTATCGCACTTACCGATAATTATTGTTTATTTATTCAAGTTTATTCATTCCATACTTACTTCTTGTTTTCCAGTTTTTTGGTACGATATTGTTGCACTCGGAAATTTTAGGTGTCTTAGACTTCCTCGGACCCCGTTCATCTTGAACAGCTAAACAAATTTAATAATCCAATTCAAATGTTTTCTGATAAAAAAAATCATACACATCCATTGTTTGGAGTTTACGATAATATCATTATTGTTACACAGCATAAATAATTATTTATACGTATTATAATACGACGATATTGTTTTATCTAAAAATAAGACTCACCGGTAACGTTCATATTGACTCTCAAACACTTTTGTAGTCGACAAAACGGACACCAGTTCCTTCTCGCTTTATCCACTATACACTGTCCCGTGCCGGCTAAACATGCGAACATAAAATAATATTTCAATGTATAAATGAGTACTCACTCATTTGTATGTGCAATGATCATACCGATACACGTATAAACGATTCTTCTCCTGACACTGCGTTTGAAGAAACAGGAACAACCGTCGCAACAGAATACGCCATAATGTTTCCCAAACGATTTGTCGCCGCACACGCGACAGCACACCGGGATTGGTAAGGTTCGTCCTGAAATGTTTCGGGAAAAAGTACAAATGGATTATGTGAAGTACGCGTGCTAAAAGGTATAGGATATCGTAGATCAGGGATGGCGAATTTTTTAGCACCTGCGAGTCGGAAAAAAAATTTGAATCTAAACTAAGTAAGTATGTGTTATTTTAATAATGCATACACTTCAAAATCGGCTATTTGCTGTTTCTATTATATTCGTAAATTTTTTATATTAATAAAAACACATCAATTGAAAAATAATTTTCCGCACCAAAATATTTTCAATTATCATTCATCAATTTTTTTTATACCGAAAGTAAAGTAAATTGTATGAATCATATTTGAATCGGACGTCACGGAAATTATGTGTGCATGCTTGTCACTGTGTAACGATTGTGTCATACGATCGGCATCCTTGTTATAGGCTATTAGAGTATATTGTGGTTACTTCACGGATGTTCTTGTTACCACTCCAAAAGTTTAAGAATCGACTGCCTTATATAAAAGCTGGCGACCCTGTGTTTACGAACAATAATATTTAGGTACTCATGTAGTAACAATGCGACAATGGTTTAACGAGAAATTTTTATTTCCAATGGACTTTTGAACGTTTATTTTAAACGTATGTATTGTAACGAGCGAAGAAAGAAACTTATTCACGCCGTGTCATATAATTTAATACATCATCATATAACATCCGTACAAATAAACAAACAAATACGCGCTTAATTTATTTCACAGACATTTGAAATAAATTCGTCAAAGACTTTTATTGGTTATAAAATTGAAAATTTGTCCCTACGCCGTCGTTTACGTGTATAATATTATCATTCATCACAGTACAGCCCTCTCTCTCTCACTCTCTCTCTCTCTCTTTCTTTTTAAGAATATCGAGCTCTGCGGATAATTGATTTCTGTTATATTATTCCCGTAAACATTTAAATAGTGAAACATAAAGTGCAATACAATGTTATCCATGCATCGCAAATAATATACGCACATAATTGTCAACAATATATTGGTCGTTATTAAAATGAATTATGTACTATACTGCGCGCCGTAGGCCGTGTTGCTTGCACGTTAGTAACAGCGAATTTTAAAATGTATAATAACATACAACAATAAATTCTATACGACTGTACAACCCAGGGACGAACGCTGGAAAAATTTTCTAGGAGGAGGTTAACGTACATAAATTTTAAATGTTTGATAAATAGCATGCTTGGTTACTCATTATATAATATATATATATATATATTATGTATTTATATATTTTATATTTGAAATAACTATCACATATGTAGGTCGGATCATTTTTTATAACATTTTTTCTGATATTTCAGGAGGGGGTTTAACCTCTAATCTCCTCAAAGTTCGCGCTTCATACGATTAATATGTTTATTTGTCTTTCGACAGAAATTCTTTAGCAATACGTACCAATGTATCGTTCATTCAGTAGCGTATTTATTACAGGATAAACCGACCCACATGGTCTGGACCTGCCCCGGTTGTTGATTTATTAAAATATATCAGATGATGGTCGTGTTTATGGATGGGAAATTCGAAAATGCGCTACTCCTATGCTTTGCCAAATCTTCCCTATTGACGTATGAAACCGTCTAGACTACGGGACATCAAAATGGACGTACCCAAATATCTGTTGCCACCGATGATTATATTTTATAACAACGGCCGCCCGAACACCGCTGTTACATCGAGTTTCGGTGCAGTAGGCGAACCTGCATCATGGAAGCTCATCCCCCGGAAAATCGGATGTTTGTAGACGTCACGATTCCGAATAAAAGACGTATACAATTTAACAAAAACGTATTATGGAAACGAGAAACAAACGAAATACACGCATTCTAATACGTCGTTACTTACCCATATTCGATTACGTGTGTATATGTAAACACGTTTGATCCGAAATCTCGACGGATCACATGGACTAAGCACGTACGTTATTAATATTATTATTATAATGTGTTATTGGATGCGTGTGGTGTTAAACGAACACTGCGCCGCGGTGACCGTTAGCACGTCCACGATTGTTCTGGCGATTGAATCACTCGAGCAGCGCTCGCAGAACGATGTACGTATGGACGTAACAATACGTTGATTGTTACCGGGTGAAATAATGATGGAAAAAAAAAAAATTAAAAAATACCCCCGTCAGAATAATAGGGGAAATAATGATACGAACGTTTGCGGGGGTTGCGGCTTGTATACATTTAGAAGGAGGAAAATCGCTGCTCGAAATCGGTAATGGGCGGATAATTGTACGAGTGTAAATACAAGTATGCAATGCAAGTGGACACGTTTTCGATATTATTATTTATTCAAAAGCCATAAAGTCCTTTCAAGGACATACACATACACGTGCGCGGGGCGCGCAGTGAGTGCATTTCCATGCCACCGCCGCTATGACGTGTATAACTCGGCCTTTTAGCCGCGACGGTTGACCATTGATCCCTTTGGCGTCCATTAAAGTAATGTTTGCTTTTCCCACCTGTCAACCGGATATCATAAATCCCGACATCTGAATGTATCCATTAAAATAAAAAACTTGAAGGGTCACGTCGTTATATTATTGAGAAAATACGATTTTCTACGGTAGTTAGTAGACGTTTGCAATTTGTGTTTTATTTTCTTTCCTTCTCTTTATACGGGTTTTTTTTTGTCGTTTACTTGTGGTTTATTTTCTCTTCAAACCGTTCTCATATTTAATATCCTACCATAAAGTACCGTGTCAATATTGGCGTATCAATTGGTGTCTCGCATAAACATTATTATACCATACGGCACAACAATACGAGTAATACCGGTACCATATTTTGTTCTACAATAATTATTTACTTTACAAACCATTATATTCGATAGCGAAGAAACGCTGTTGTTTTCATAATTTTTATTTTGGTAATGATAATACCGAATGGCTAAATGAATAACTAAATTTAAAACAATTTGCATGATATTATATAAACGCCATATTGTGTTACAGTTTCGAAGAAATACTATAATAATGTATCTTATATATTAAAAAAAAATTATGAAAACTAAAGTCAGTCCTATCCATTCTATCCGGCTGATTTCCTTCGTTTTTTTTTTAACATTAAAGATATTTAGACAGATATGTCATCAATCATTAAGATTTATTCAACTCTCACCTTACTCAAGTTATACTCAAATGCGATTCTTCCCTGTATATTTCTTACGGAACACATTCACTCAAGTAATTCGAATTCTCATAGCTCCTCTTCTAAAGAATAGATCTTGATCGTTTCACTTTCAGAACATTCAGTGGATCAAGCTCTTTCTTTTGAGCTATTAACTGCTTAAATTCGTTGAGTTTAAGGAATATTATGCGTGCACAATCAACTTTATATTCAATTTTTTCAATATTTTCCTTCACTCAAACCTTTATAACTAGAGTTCTAATTAACGTAGACTATTGACACAAGTCTAAGAACACTCAGTATATCATGTTCTTTCTTTTGAGCTATTAACTGCTTAAATTCGTTGAGTTTGAGAAAATTTATGTGTGTACAATCAACTTTACTTTTAATTTTTTCCAAATACTGCATTCTCATTGGCTCTTATCTATTAGTTTTAATAAACACTCTCTGTCATTTTGATATGTCTTTCTATCTTCGATATTATACTCATTTATTGATTTGTTGAAATGTGTTTATGTATTGATTCGATTGCGCTTATACTTTTTATTATATATATAAATTATCTATTGCGAATTTTCGCAATGGGTATATTAGTATTATATTATAGTATGGATGGTATTTAAGTTGTTCATAGTAAAATCGAATTCAAATTATTTATTTTAGTATTTATTAAAGATATTAAAATTTATAATCAATAATTATATTAATCTATACAAAAGGATGTATTTCCTATTCACCAACGGTTTTGAAAATTCACAAATTTTTTTTGTTATCACCAAAAATTGTTCACATTTTGATTTGTTGAAAACAATTAATTGAATAACTGATACACTGCGTTTTCGGACATAAATATAGACATTCTCAAGAGTATTAATTAGGTAGAAAAAACCTTCAATGATTTAGGCATGGAGATAAAAAATTCCTAGACAAATAAATTAATTGCCTAAATCATAAACTAATTACACCCGAAGAATATTATGGTTTCATAATTTCTGACATACTTTAAATCTCCAACTACTCATTATAATCTATCGGTTCACACAATCCATTGAAAGTCAATTTTAAAGAAGTAATTTAAATCCATTATAAGTGATAAAATAAAGCAAATATAACTTCATATGTACATTAGAAAAAAGTGTATAATTTTTACAAAACTGATAACCTTATAGAAAAAGATAAAACTTGGTTATTGAAAATCTTACTAAAATAAATGGTGAATATATTATTTCATGCATTCTTAAGGATTATGTTATTTAAATTCTGAGTGAAAGAAGGAATGTAGATCTTACTATGATGAGTTTTGTGTTGTGTTTTTTTTTGTGAACGTTTACAATATTTCGACCAGAAGTAATGTTTCAATCATCACCAAATAAAAAGAAAAATATAGGAAATAGGTTCTAGTTGGTACTTTTAGGATGAGTATTTTTAAATTTCCTAACAGTCTTGCAAATAATTAAGAAAAATGGAGAAATAAACTGCAAAATATAACAGAGAATCAAACTCTTCCCATTAAAAATCATTAATCGCATATTAATTTGTGTTGCACTATTTTTTTTTATTTATTTTTTTTTTTTTTGAGAATATGTATTAGTGATGGGCATATCCGAATTTAGAAAATCATGATTTTATGGATTATCCGAACTATCCGGATTATTCAATTCAATTTTTCTGTTCAATTACAAATACTATTCCTACAATATATCTCCACATGATAATTATAATTTTTATTTAATAATTTGAAGAAAACTTGTTCATGTAAATAATTACATCGATAACAATTATTATTGTATCATTCCTATATTGTATTGTAGTATAAATTCAACTTATCTTTAGAAAATTTTATTCAATAACCATTCAAAGGTTATGCAGTTAAGATAAGGTAATTGGGTGTTCAGTCATGATATCACAGAAAGTCATAGAGAAATAAAGTAAACCCAATAATTTAGTAAATTGTAATTTCGGTAACTAATAATACATTATAAAAACGAAATCATAATAAGTAAATTGAAATTCATAAAATATAATATTAATTTGTTGTTACAATAAAATAAAATAATTTATTTTACTAGAAATTAAAAATAATTATAAGTTATATAAAAAGCAAATTCATAAATCCGGATAATCCGGATACTTTGGCAAATCCAGATAAGAATTTGATTCAAATCCAAATTTGAATAACCGGACATCAGGATAATTCAGATAATCGGATTTCATGCCCATCCCTACTTTGTATACGATTTCGTTCAGAATGACTACTCCAGTAATTACAATCATAAAAGATTTCTGATATAAAACATTGTTTATTTGATATTTCGAAAGGGCCATTTTACGGATTTCTCAACTGCTTTCTTTATAATTGCTAAAAACTAACGAAAATTTCTAAACATTTACGCCATACAAGTTTTAGACAAAAACAACATTTTGTTTCATCGTAATTTAAAAAATAGTAATTAGAGAAACATGTAATTTTCATTGAATGCTTATATTACAGTTTACTATAGATGGCATAATTTTCAAAGGATTTTTATTTAGCTTCTCACAGAAAATTTAAATTCTTATGTTTTTTTAGATTTTTTTTTTTAAATATTGATAAATAATTTGGTTTTTTTTTTAATAAGATTTAATCTTTATTTTAGAATACAGTATAATGATTATGTTAAATGTTCGATAATTAACTGAACCAGTTATTTTATAAATAATTATTTAGATATAGTGAATACTATTGTGTGAATATAATCATATAATATTAATATACGTAAACTTACGTATGTCAGTCAACAGATTAATACAAAAGAAAATATAATTTAAAATATATGATGTATTCTTTCCAGATCTTCGAAAATAAACGCTCTTAGATATTCTTTAAATAAACATTATACACTAAATAAAAACAATTTTATATCTTTTGTACTTCTTTTTCACTATTAATAAATAAATAATTAAATATTATATTTTATTATTATTTATTTTAATTATTTTTTTTAATTATTTCTATTCTATTATTTTATTATTAATTATTAATAATTAAAATAACTAAATTAATAAAATTTATCAAAATATTTAAAGGAATCTATACATTTCTTCATATCTAAGAAATCAAATAAGCACGTTTCAGACAAGAAGATATAAACACAAATAATTCACAAAATGCAAGACTTATATATTGTATATCTATCTTCTATTCACTTAAAAAACGACAAAGTAACAATACTTGGTAATTATTTATAAATTTATAATAATTTGTAAACTCAAAATAAATGGTATAGTGTTTAAAAATATTTTTTTGTCGACCTATACTAATGTAATTTCACTGGAAGTAAATGTTCGTGCCATAACTTTTAGGTGTTTGTAATATCCAAAAATCGTGCTAACGACCTACGGTTATGTGAAATCTTATCTTCATGTAAATTAACATTACATGTTTGAATGCATAATGTGTAGCAAATGGACTGCGTTGTTAAATGTGTCTTTTATAATTTTTAGTATTTATATCATATCTTACTGTCATAATTTCATAGACAGAACAATTTTAGGCTCAAATACATTATTTTAACGTTTTGGAAATCATTAGGATAAAATGCCGTTGAACCTGAAAAAAAATATAAAAAAATATCAGTAAGGCTTTAGAATAATAACAATTTGTAATGAAGAATCAATGAAAAAAATAGAGTCGTTATCATTATATATATTTACTGCTAAATAAATATATTTCATATTGATCGACATGTTGTAATTTTAATCTCACTAAAGAGAAATTAGTAATTTAAAATTTATAAAGCTAACATAATGATTTTGTATAATTTGGGTTCTAGTAACCAAATAATTTTAAACAAATTTAAAAAATAGTTTATATGAACTATTTTTCATCTATGTATCAACTCCGTCAACTTGGATACGACAGATTTCTTCACAGTTTACGCTTTTAAAATATTAATAATAATATGTTAAACTTGATATCATTATTCACATACCTATATGAACCACATAAAATTTAAGGTATCGTTATTGTTACCTACTTAAAATAGTCCGCTTTCAAAATTCTCATCCCAAAAATATTCAATCGCTGTATAAAAGTAACCGGAAAACGGAAAATATATCATGCCATATCACCTTCACGCTGAGATATGATATATTATATGATAAGTGTTCAAAAATAACCTGAAATATAACATTCTAATTCTAACTTTATAAATGCAAAAATACCTCGGAGTACACTACGATAAAAATTATTGGACTTATCATACGCATTCCACAAGTTCATTAAACGTGTACTCTTACGTACTCTAAGATGCTTTTTTCGTCTACAACTTCAAGCTATATTATACTATACGAGACAAATTTATTGCCAAAAATAATCTCAAATTAAAACCAGTTCTTACACATTGAAATTGGACAATCGAGACACCCTAATAGTCTGATTTCGATAAGGTATAATGTAATAACTTAAACAAACATTTTCTTACCAGTGACCAGTGCTGGGTTAAGAGTTGATGCTGCCCTGGAGCAAATGATGTTTGCCCTTCTCCATCAAAAAAATAAGATTTAAATGACACCAAAACTAAATTCCTAGTTTTTATGTACAAATGAAAAAAAAAAATAGTATTATAAAATGTATTTAATATAATAATGAATCTTATACTAAAAAATATAACTATATGTTTAAAGTCACAGAATATTTTTCCAAAGAATCTTTTTAAATTATCGGAAAATATTTATAAAATACAATTATAATATTAATAAATTGGTTTAAAAATATAGAGATAATAATTAATGTGATTTTTAATTTTAACGTAAATTAAAAAATAAAAAAACTAATAATATTATTTATTTTTTTTTAATAATATATTTTTTTTATAGATTTAATATTTTCAAATTTTTGTATCAGTTCTTCTCACTTAATTTCCTCAAATAAATTAGATTCTATGCATAAAATTGATAAATTGGAAATTTTTTCTTGTATTTACAACGATCTTAAATAATTATTTACAAGTTTTAAAACAGGAAACGATCTACTGCCTCTTGCATTTGAAGAAGATAAAGTGCAAATAATTCTTAAAATGATATCGATATTAGGAAACAATATATCTATAGACGATGTTTTCATTTTTTCTCAGCAGTGATGTTAAATTATTTTTGGCTTCTGACAGAATATTTTGAACAATAGTTTTTAAATGTACTAACTCTTTTAAAAAATCTATTTCTTTGTCTAAATTGTACAATTCAATAATTAAGAAAAGAACAACTAAAAACCAATTCGGAATCATAGAAAATATTATAAATGATAATAACGGGTCTACCAATAAAACATATGAAAATATTTAAAAGTTGTACACTTTATGGAACATCCTACAAATTTTTTTTTCTAAACATATGTGAAAAACTTTTGATTAAATAATTATTGTACTTAATATTTTATTTTTTTTTTTTGGCAATTTTATTTATGCCACCTTACTAAATTTACCACTCATGAGCAATTGCTCCTTTTGCACCTAGGTTAATTCGATCCTGCCAGTGACCAACTATAATGCAGATTTTTTTTTTTTGTATCTATTCAAAACTTTACACTGAAATTTGCCAATAAAAATCGATACAACTGTTTAATTTATATCATTGCTTCCCAATTTATGTACTACAAATGCCCTTTGTGTTGAATAGACGACCCTTCAACAATGTAATATAATAACATTACTATTTTACTATCAAGGCCGTAACTGGGGGGGGTCCAGGGGTCCGGACCCCCCCCGAAATTTTCAAAAGTAAAAACATTTTAGCGGTGAATATAGTTTATTAAATATAAATTGTTTTAAATAATAATGTTAGACCCACCCGAAATTTTTTTTTAGTTACGGCCTTGTTTACTATTAAAATTAATAATTAACTTTAATATTAATTTTTGTTTCTATAATCATTTTATTGTAAAGAATTTTATTATATATTTTAACGCAATTTTTCAAAAACTGAATTCTGATATATGTATAAAATTATATTTTAATTACTAAGATTTTTTCTTGTCATTAGTTTACGAATAGTAAACCATCAAAAATATTTGGTGACCCAATATTGGGTTCCGACCCAAAGGTTAGGAAACTCTGGTTTATGATATATTAAAATGTTTATTGCATTCAAATTTTAAAAATCTAGTTAGTGACAAAAATGTTATAACGACGGAACAAAGGTTTTCCCTTACAATGTTCTAAAGATATAAAGACTGTGTGTATAACTGCGTCTCCAGTACAAAAGTATGTCGAACGATTAGTTTTTAATGGTTTTATACATATGCATAAATATAAGTCTGAGGTATTGAGCTGACGAAAGTTTTTGTTACATGCATTTTTTGTTACGGTCAATTACCATTAATGCTTGTCACGAACCCGTAGGAAAAAAAGAGTTAATGGAAATTTAAGATCCAAGATTTAACCATATGTTAACTATACCAATATTTATTATATGTTGTAAATGTTTTGTTTTATCCAAGTTTTTAATTAATCCGATGACGAACGACTTATGAAGTTAAGTTACAATGCCAAAAAAACTGAAAATTCCAAACCGTAGGTAGATACGTCATACACATGTACCTGGGAATAGTGTACGAGAGTAATCTGCAGTGATGTCATATGATTAGTGTAATCGTACATACTTTACTAACGTTATATATAAAATGCGATCTTCATTTTTATTTCTGACCGAAACAATATAAAATGTTAGGCACATTATCATTCATAAAAAACTTTAGCTCACTATTCGATCGATAGAATTCAGTTATAAATGGCTAAGATTTTTTTTCATAATGTAATATTATAATTTATTTTTTAAATGCAAAATTAATATAATATTTATTAAAATCGCAGTATCCCAAGAGTACTATTTATAAAATTGCTGTTTTAATTACACAAGTTGCATATCTCATTATTATTGTAATTGTTTAATGTTTAATTTTCTTAACCTGTTAATTATTTCGAACGATTACTTTTGTTGAGCTCTAACTTCCCTATTTCATATTTTATTTTCTATATTTTTAATTTATAACCATCGGTAATACGGCGAGAGCCAAGACTAGTAGTTACAATAGTAATATAAAATTATATATTACTCTATACTATACTGCAGTTTTAATATCGATTTTACATTTTAAACATAACTTATGTATCTGGTATTGAATTGTCATTTTTCTTATTACAATATTATTGTCAAAACCTCATATAATACTAAATACTAACACTTTTAAAGCTATATACTTTTAATTAGGATATATTATTTTCTTTTAATACATTTCATACTCTAAAGTTCAAAGTATGGGGCATTTTTTTACATAGTATTGTTTAGTAATTAGTTCCGAGTTTTTGTATTCAGACAAATTGGAATAAAAGTGTATTATAATTTATATTTTTTTTATAACTCCATATTTCTATGTTTAAGAGCTTTTAAAATCATCGATATTTTTTTTTACCTGGAGTTAATTCTGCTAACAATTAGACCAAGTGTATTAAACAGAGACTTTTTCAATTTTGTTATAAAAAACAATTGTTCGTAATTATATATTATAATATTTAAACAAAATCATACAAAATATTCGATTCGATGTAATCCGTGGTTTAAACACATAAAATAGCGGTTCTCAGAGAGTTACCCAAGGGCTTCACGAGAGTAATCTAAGGGCTCAACGGATATATGAAGTGAATCAAACTCAAATAATATTATCAGTGCAATTTTTTTATTTGTATGGATTTTATATTATATTATGCAACCTCACATACACATTCAAATTTCTTCCATCAAACCAAGTATTTCAATACCATTGTTAAGGAGCTGACTACAATAGTGAGAGAGCCTCTAATTTAAAGAATACATTTTATTTGTACACAGTAAAACATTTTATCTTATTTAAGACTTATTTAAAATCTTATTGATTTGTCAACCGTTTTGATTCTCGCTCGTAAACAATGTTTCATTTAATCGTTAACAATAGCTAAACTCTGGATAATGTTACTATGTACTTTATTTTTTAAATTTTTTTTATAGAGTGTTCAGTAGGTCTTTAAGTCCTTTTACACGCTTCTTCAAGTCTTCCCATCTTTCATGATATCTTGCCATTCTCATCGTTATCCCCTCATATATTTATTTTATGTTCTTAACTATTCTATCTATCCATTGTTGATGGGGTCTCTCTCTTGGTTATTATTTGTTTATTTTCTTAGTTGAAAACATTAGAAATAATGCTTCCATCAGCTCCCAAACGTGGCCAGCCCATTCCAGTTTTACTTTAAGATACTTTCCAATATTTGGTTTGTTGTACAGCTTTCTGTATTCGCGTTTTTTCTTCTTTCATATTTTCTATTTAGATTTCCTTTGGGCCCATATATCTTCCACAAAACTTTTCTATTGAATTTTAGTAGTTTTTTTCATCCCCTTGCGCAGAGGACCAAGTTTCGCATGCATTGCGTATGTATTTTATTCATGGCTGTAATCGTTTATCATCTAAAAAACAAGTACATTTAATACTTAATTATAATTGTTTATTAAATTTAGATTTATAATAATACGAGTATATTACTGAACGCGATCGAATCGAGGAATTCATGGTGTCAAAGTATGTAAATTAGTTTTCTAACAAACTCAGTTTACACATTATAACAATACGCATGTATTATGTTCAACAATTCAATCGCTTTGACAAAATATAATCTGTTCTATTTTGTACTCCTACAGTAACTAATAGCAAAATAATAGCATATTATATTTAATAATATCTATGTAGTTTAGTATTCTGCAGAGTGACACAAGAAAATTAAATCGTTAAAGATTTGTATTTTTTTTTTTTTTTTTTTTTTTTTAACGATATTTATATTATAATAGTTTTATAATTATTATTGAATACAAATATATTTATCATAGCGTTCCAATAGAGAAGATAAACATCGTGTTTCCAATAGGTATAATTACATATGTATGACCTTTATACAGCGTTGGTGACAATATAAAATTCCTAGACATGATCATAACAGTCATATAACAATGATTACGATTGTTTGATTTTAAATAGAACACGATCGATTCGTATCATATTCGTACGTATAGTATGTTTTTTTATTATAAATATCTAATATATACAGTATGAATATAGTTTTATTTATAAAATAGTTGTCTTATTTTTTATTTTTACATTATTTAGTCAAGTCTATATAATAATATTTACGAGTATAAATTAATAGTGAATATTAACAATTACGTTATCGTTATAATCTACAGGGGCACACGATGAAAAATCGCGATTCCATAAAAAAAAAAAAAATTAATAATAATAAAATGATATAAAAAGGAGGCTCGTTAATAAAATGAATGCTAACGATACGAAAAAACGATAAATTCATATATAATGTACAGCAGACGTGATAAATACATAGAAACTCGTGGGACAAGAGAAAAACGTGCGGTCTGAAAAATACGATACTGAAAATTACAATACAATATATAATATAATAGTTTATTACATATTTACGCTCATGCGGGACTAGGTGATTTCGAGACGGCGATCGTCAACGCACGCGTCTCCGGCACTCGTATAGGAGCGAGGCCTTGGAGTCGCGCATTTACGTTTAAATATAATATGCGATCGCTCGAAAACAAAATATTTAAACTAAGACAATTAGCGGTCGTTTTGAAATTTATACAGACGCAGTGGTGGATATTATTCCGTACTACGAATAATGAGCGCACGTGCGAACGACGTCGTATAATTTTTTTCTTACGAATAAAACGTGACATTATATTTACGTCCGAAAAGTAAATCCATATAATAACACTGGTGTAAAACATTTTAACAAGTCGGAAATGCTCGCGGGATTTTGCCGTTTTCTGAACGTTTTTTTTTTTATTTTTTACATATTATATACGTATTGTTATTATTACGCTCAGGAAATACATTAAAAAATGTATATTTCGTACTTATATACAGAATATATATTATTATTATGTACAAAATCCGCAGGCGAGTATCCTGGACAGAGGATATATATATATATATATATATAGAAAGAGAGAGAATGAGAAGGACAGAGTGGTCTTCTAGGACGCCATGAGTTTGTTGTTGACGTGACCATTCAACAAGTGTTGGTAGCTGTGGGCGGTCACCGGAGCCTGGGGCAACGGGAAACTGAAACTGCCGAGTTGTGGATGATGATGATGATGATGATGATGATGGCCCGGTCCAGTCGATCCGGGGAAGAGGAAGTGTTCCGCGGCCGCAGCAGCCGCAGCCGCAGCGTCATAGTGCTCGTGTTTGATCTCGACCGCCTGATGTTTGTTCACTGAAAAAGAGTAAAGGAAAAATAATATTGATACATCGTCGTCAATATCCTGTTTAAAAATACATTTTTTACTTTCAATCTTCATCTTTATGAGACTGCATTCATGCGCGCGTTTACCTTAAATTGCTTAGCCGCTGCAAAGGATAACCATAAACATCATTCCTCTCACCGGGCGCGCGCCATCCCGAAGTGAGATTGTAATTCTGATTGCGATTTAAAGTGAATTGGATGCCGCAATATTAAATTTAAACCAAAAGCGTGGATAGGAGAAAACGAAAAAGAGATTTTTGATGTTACGAATAATGTTAAAGTTTGAATATGGTGAAGAAGTATAGTCTACATTAGCCATGTATTTCGATTAATATGTAATTTTATGATGTCCGTAACATATATTATAAATATATTAAAAGGATAATATTTTCTATTTTAAATACTGTTAAATATATGTTAATTATCACTGAGACATCGGATTTTCCCCCATAAAATACCATTTTTATTTCTGAATTCACACGTGTGTTGATCTTATCAGCACATTAAACAACTTCAGAAAATGTCCGTTGTTCACTGTGGTTGTTTTGCTGATGCTATGAACTCCACAGACACAACATGAAGATTGTTTTTAAGAAGAACACCGAAATCAACTGATATGTTAATCAACCATCGACTTATAAAAAGTGCCTAACAGAATAATTAAAAAATGTTTATGTACTCAATTAGATTTAATATCCTTTTTAATAGTGTACAGTTATTAAGACAATCGAGTGTTGCACTGAACACCATTAAATAGATATTTTGGTTTAATCTCGTTTTGTTATCATACAACTTCAAAGTTTTAATTATCCATAACCTTAATTTTATTGCTATCTAAAATTATTTCAATGTCTTATTATCGATGTTTGTGAATTATTAATTCCTTAGGTTTTTTTTCTTACTTTGCGTCAATTGATTATTTTAATTTTTTTAATATTTAATTAGTAATAATTATTTTTTTCTTTTTCATAAATTGAAAAAAACACCTCGATTAAATCTAGCCAATGAACTTTGTTATTTTTATCATATATACGCGCATACTGTGTTGATTTTTATGTCCTCACAGATGAAATAACTATTGTCGGAATATCCGTTCAAAAAGAAATATGTTCACGTTTCAACACGGAAACCCCCAACATTGAACCATTTTATTAGTGATTTGTATATTTACCTAATAGATCTATGGCCGTCGACGAGGACTGTCTGTTATCCACGTTGGAGCCGGCGGAGGAAGAAGACGTAGATGAAGGTTGCTTTTTTGGTTTTCTCTTTCTTGTCTGAATGCCATCTTTTCTCATCGTCAGCGGCCTGTTGACGCCGTGAAGTTTATAATACAGTCCACAGGCGTTGCACACGGGCTCGCCATCGTTGTTCCTTCTCCACAGTGTGGTCATACGAGTGCCACAGTTTGTGCACGACAGTCCTAAGCGTCTGTTCGATGCCTGGAAATAAACACAAAATGATAATCATTTCCATCGTTTATATGTATATACCAGATATAGGTATAACAACAATAGTGCTCACGGACTAGGTGGTCGCAAGCGAATACGTATAAAATTGTATGCCGAAATATCGACACGACTACAACCAACATGAATTAAACCGAAGCTATAGGTGTGTGCACCATGTTCGCATACATTGCGTTTACATATAATGCTAATATTAATTATTTTCCATATTATAATAACCAGGGCTCGGAAGTTCTAGAAAATGCATATTTTTTTTTGGTTCATCTTAGAACATCCAAAGTAAGATACAAATATGTTTCTCACTACTCGGATATCATACACAAAATTTAATTTTGCTATTTTTCGCATGTTTACGGGTTTTATTGCTATTTTGCTAATTTAGGGTTTATAGTGCTATTTTCGGGTATATTTTCACATAATATAGGAAATAATCACATATTGTTGATAATAATTGTATTTACTTGGTTATGTTTTTAAAAAATATTTTAATTATTGGAAATAAATAGACCTCATCAAATATTGTTTTATATTTTCATCGATAATTTGATGTATTAATAGTTTGTTATTCCCTTATTATATCATTGCATTAGATTATCAAACATTTTAATAATCTAGGATAATTTCCTAGGTAAATATATAAAATAGTTTAATAATAAGTAGGTATATTTTTACAAATATATTTAAGTAATTTAACATTTTTGTTAACAGTTTATTATATTATTAAATGCATATATTTTGATTTTTCGTGCTATTTATAGCGTATATTTTAGAGTTTCTGAGTACATATTTAAGAGCTAAAAAGTAACATTTTTAATGCTACAACTTCCGAGCCCTGATAATAACAAATAATCGATTGGAAACTATCCGAAAATGTAATTGTTTCACGCATAAACAAAAATACAGATGGGACTCGTTACAAATGAATTGTACCTCCTATATAATTTTATAATCGTTCAATGATTAATATTATTGTTTAGAAATTGTATTCCATAAAAAAAATCACTGTCATTGCAATCAAAACTGTGCTCGTTATCATACATAGAAAAGTAGCAATGATTATTACAAAATATATATGATTGTATAGGCGCGCACATACACACGAAACGCACACATCGATATTGTGTACACATTTTTGTGTAATGATTCATTGAAAACCAAAGCTACATCCGCGTTTTCGAATAGTTGTAAAGATACATACTATATATATATCTTAATGCCACTGCAAAACTAATGCACAGAAATATTATTAAAACCTTACAGCGATTATTCCGGTAGCAATTACAAATATTACGATGTACGATTATTATTTATAGTATCGAAGATTATGGGATCAAATATATGAATATTGTACTGCATGTCTCACATCATGGACAGTTTGTGTAAGAATATCGACTCGAAATTAATCTTGTTCGGTGTATTCATCATTTAATCGCTGAATTGGTGATAAGTGGAGTGATCATTAAAGTGATCGAGTTACATTGATAACTAAATTCGATCAATCAGTTACATATTTGACCTCGTTACTTTTAAATTAAATTAGTTACGCTTCTCCTGGACCATATTATATTTTTAAATGTTTATGCTATTTACTAACTGATATTAGCTTACATGAGATTTACAAGAAATTTACACGTTGCAAACAAATTTATACATTCCAAAAAGTCAAGTGTAAAAATGTGAATTAATATTTGTATGCATAGGTATGTATATTTTCGTATTTGTATGCTATTTATCATTAAAGTATACTCAACATTTCGCTATAAACGTTTTCACGAGAATCTAACAACTAATTCTAACCCACTAGTTCAGTACTATCTTATTTGTCGTCCAATCGTGTAATTGGGGAGCCCTTCGCAGACTAAAAATAAAAAAGAACCGTATGGGCCTCGCTCTGCTGTACAGTAGGGGATGGAGTGCACCTAGTTTATAGGATAGGTTATTACAATGAATTTGTTAAATTTGAATGCAATGATAGGTATTGTATACAAATAATGATTCTGAACGAAGAATATTTGTTAGATATATATATTGAAAAAATATTATTATATGTATATATTATTATTATATTGTAATAATCTTATATATAGAAAGCAGTGTTCCAAAAATTTTTTATTGGATATAATTTCTGTATAAATATCCTATATAACTATATTTAATTAACAAAAAATGATTCAAAACGGTTCTTATTATTTTATTTGGAAAAATCAAATACTTAAAATTCCTATAAGTTGCTTAAAAATTAGTATAATATTTTGAAAAAAAAACGCTCAAAGAAAATGCCAAACTTAATAACTAGTAAAAGTTTTGAGTTTTGAATAATAACAAATATTTAAAATCGTTTGAGGATAAATCGTTATTTTATGCAGTTTCGTAAAAATTTAAATTTCAAACGGTCATAAAAATTTTTCCTTAAAGTCCGGTAGAAATTTTTTTAAAGTTATTAAGAAAGAATAAGAAGAAGAATAACTAAGAATAATTAAGAAGAATAAATTATGGATAACCTTGTGTTAAAATTTTACACCTTAAGTATAAATAGAAAAAATTTTATGAATTTTTAACTACAAAATAACATGCAAATTATCGCTATTTTGACTTATTTCATACAAATTTGGACTTTATGGGCTTATAAAAAAAATTTGTGTGGAACGATTTCTAATTTTTTTAGTGTTCCGATAAGTATCATTTATAATAAACCTTGTATTAAGTTTTCAAGAGTTTTCTTACAGCTAAGTATTTTTATCGGTATTTCAAAAAAAAAAAATTAGGAAAATCGAAAATTTAAATTGTCTATAAATAAGGCAAAATATGTTAAAACACTTTGAAAATTTAACCATGTATTAAAGATGCTAATATAAACATTTTTTGAAAATTTCAAGTATTTGCGTTTTTAGTTTTGGGTTAGAGCAATTTCCAAAAACCGATATGATTTTTCACTCTAGAATATTATATATTATATTATATTTTACATGTAATATTATGTCAATATTCACTGTTCAAACGCTTATAAAAAAAAAAAAAATGGTCCTATGAATTTCAATAATTTTTGAATAGCAATAAGGACAACTTCTGTGGAATCTTAAATTAAATTTTAAGTATTTTGCACCAGACAAAATTTTTTATCAACGATTATAAAAAAAAATTGTAAAAAATCGAATATTTAAAATGTCTATAAGTTGCTTAAAAGTCAATATAATATTTTGAAAAAATATTACTTAAAAAAAATGCTAATCTTAACAACTAATAAAAATTGTAAGTTACTGCGACTTATACTTTTTGAATTATAACAAATATTTATAATCATTTGAGGATAAATCGTTATTTTATGCAATTTTGTAAGAATTTAAATTTCAAACGGTCATAAATTTTTTTTTTTAAAGTCTGGTAAAAATGTTTTTATAGTTTTTTAAAGAATAACTTATAGATAACCTAGTGTTAAAATTTTGAACCTTAAGTATAAACAGAATAAATTTTATGAATTTTTATCTACAAAATAACTAGCAAATTATCGTGATTTTGACACATTTTATACAAATTTTAACTTTATGGGCTTATAAAAAAAATTGATATGAAACGATTTCCAATTTTTTTTAGTTGTAGTAACATAAGTATAACTTATAATAAACCTTGTATTAAATTTTCAAGAGCTTTTGGATAGCCAAATTTTTTTTAAAAGATATTTCAAAAAATAAACTTAGAAACATTTAAAATTTAAATTGTCTATAAATAAGTCAGAAATTTTCAAAATACTTCAAAAACGTTATCATTTATATAAAACGCTAATTTAAATATTTTGTGAAAATGTCAAGTATATGCGGCTTTTCGTTTTTGAATTAGAGCATTTTAAAAAAAATGTAGTTTGCCAAAACGTGGTTTTGCGTAAAAATTCCCGGTTTTTTGTAATTTTTTTATGGTTTTTTTCGATGCTTTTAAAAAGTATTAAAGAAGTTTGATTTTTGACTTGTCAAAATATCATCTACATTCACTTTCCTTTCAGAAAAGTTGCTGTTTAAGAAAATCGAAGCATTTTTACTGCCCCAAAACGTGATGACAAACACAAAAAAAAAAACACATATCATTGTAAAATCAATAGATTCCATCACTCCGTTCAAAATCTAATAAAGAAAAAATAATATTCACTCTTCTACTATATGAGATATTTCTGAGATCTAAAATTTACCAATATGCGACTCAATCCCAATTAAGCGATTCCTGTTACGAACCAAAATGTGTATATGTTACGGGTAGAGTACGAAAATTGGAAAATGTACATATCACCCGGGTAATATGAACACTACTCATGTGTATTTGATAAAGTAAACATATTTGTTAAACGTTTATTTTCTAGGTACATTTACCGGGTAATTTGTACATTATCTACCTTTGAGTGGACAAAGTTTTTTCATAAAATAAAATGCAACAAAATATCAATTGTAGATAATATTAATCAAATATGATAAAATACGAGTATAAATTGTACATTATGATAAATTGTATGTATTGTAATTGTATAGTAATTTTAATCTTCATTACGGTGCTATCGGTTTTCGAGTTCACTTATTCGGTTTATTAATAATTGATCATTTCATTTTTTTTAAAAAAAACTTGTCTTCTTAAAAAGAGAAATTTTATGAGAGTTTTAATAAATGAATTAATGAAAATAATGAGAATTCGGTAAATGTAACGGAATCAAAATATTATGACATATTATTTAAAATAAAAAAATCATAATGAACCATTAATAATAAGTATTTTATAAGTGCCGGCTAAAAAAAAACTTGGTGTGAAATAGCTAATGCACAATTTCTTTTAAGTGGTCAAAGTTTTAAAAAATGTTTGTGTAAAAATAATTGTTTAACAAATAAATGTATGAGTAAATGTAAATCTGTGGAATTATTTTGCTACTCAAAATGTCACCCGAATCTAAACTGTTACAATAAATAACTATATTTAATATTTTTAAATTTTTTCATACATAAAATAATAACTTAAAAATGTATAATTTACTTAATAATTTTTATTTCGAATTAATATTATTTAGTTTTCTTCTTCTAATTCATACCTTATCCATAGCACACTGGATAATGTACGCATTATTACTATTTATATGAATTAGGTGTCCTTTACCCGAATTAACTACCCATTTTCGAACTTTACCCGTAACATATATAAATGTAAGAAATGTGAGAGTATAAATGGTCTTTTTTCTGATAAGAAAAAGTTATACTCACAGTCTCGAATGCGACCAATCTTTTGGCTGGCTTGACCAGTGGCCGGTTCATGCCGTTCATTTTGTGGTACAGACCGCAGGCGTTGCATAGATAGTGTCCGGTGCCATCGCGGCGCCACAGCGGCGTAGAGATGGCACCACAATTAACACATTCCCGGCCGTCTCCGAACTGCAAATCCATTCCCGTGTCTGAAACAAACGGGATGTCATACATTGCACCACTAAGTAGATGAAAATAGGAGAAACAGACGCAGTATCCCATGCAAATTGCTTTATTAAAAAGATAATTAAAAGCAAACGTGCAGCAGAGACACTAATACTTCGTCGTGTGACGGCAAAAAAAAAAATAAAATGAAATAAAAACAAGGATTATAATGTGTGTATATATTTATATATGTATATAAAACCTATGACATACGCGCGTGTGTGTTTTAAAAAAAAACTTATGGCGCCAAACATAAATTACCATAAGGTGAGATGGGGAGGGGGTGCAACCAGTTAATGCACTCGGGACTAATTGATCGTGTTTGGTCCCTATAGTTGAGTAATTTGTCATGTTACGAACGGATCGGAGGTCAGTCGGTGGGGTTTTTTAGTTTTTTTTTTTTTTATATTCCATAGTAATTTTATCCATTTATACACCTACAATAATATCAACGACGCCGCCGTCTAAGACGCGCCAACACACGAAGACGACGACAAGAAAGAAGAAGAAACCGGTCATCGCTGTCGCCGCCGCCGTCGTCGTCGTCGTCGCCAACAGAGAACGGTAGTCGATCGGTAATCGCCTGCACCGACGATTCCACTTGTTTGAACACACACACACACACACACACACACACACACACACACACACACACACACACATATGTATACATGCGCGCGCGAGAGTATACCCCTTATATACCTACAGAGGGCTAATGAGGTTGCGCTTAATTTACAACATCTGTTTGGAATTATTTTATTCATCTGCGTACGTACGAAGAGGAAGTACCTCTCTACTTGAGTGCTGTTTAGAATTGAGCGTTTGAAAATTTGTGAAGTAAATTGTTATTTTGAAATAACGTAACGATTCTTACTGTTAGAAAATAATTATAACTATTATACAGCAGTACTTACGATTTGAAACTTGACTTCGCAAAACCGATTACGTTTGCCAGATCGGGTATGTCTGTATGACATTAGGTATAGGTACTTTTGAATATGAAACTATTTTGTATTGGTTTTTTTTTTCTTTTTTAACGAAATTTTCGAAAAACGATTAACTAAACGAAGAGAAACAAATGTCCTTTAGCACTACAATCGCATAATACAATGACACAGAAGCACGTATACTTTGTCTTAAACGTCTAATAATGATAGTTTCGAATCGGAATTGTTTGTTTAATGTTTATTCAATAAGTGTTAGATAATCTAGAAAAATATTATAGATAAAGAAAAATTACTTATTGTATGATTAATGATTAAATATTATCATAAACATGATTATTCGTAAAAAGTACACGTCGTTCAAATACTTTATCATAATAAAATTTATAACTAAAAAAAAAAAATCGACAAGAATTCAATTTCAAATAACCCACTCCACGGCATAACGTGGTTATATGCTCGTAATGGAATTAAGTGCATGGGTACTAAGTTGATCTTGGAATAAAATTCAATAGTTCTTATGTATACGGGTTCAAATTCAAACAACGAGATTAGTAATTTCTTTTTAAGGAACAGTGTTTATTCACGTTTAAACTTAAAGGTTATTATATATTACACTGATGACTGTTGAAGAATTAAATTCTAGTTATCAAGAGTTATCGAGAGCTATCGAGCTAAATTATTGAAATTTATGACTTATTGTGAGCATAATGACGAATTATAAAAACTTATAATTTTAATTGAATCGGTTAAAATTTTTATTTATGAATAGTAGTTATTAAATTATTTTAGATTTTATATCATTAAATAGATAAAACTATGATGTATTCGAATAATATTAGAAATATAGCGATAAGAAATTTACATGCATTTATGCCGTTATAGAATATCACTACTTATGCAAACTTGTTTTTTTTAAGTATATACTTCAACAGGCATTATCTTACCATTTGACAAATACAGAAACAGCTAATCGATGTTAACTTTTCAACAATACTTTATAGTAAACTAAAAAATTCTTACAGTGTAGAATGATAAAAACTTGATATCAAAAAAACACTGACGAAATACTAAACAGAACTTGGGTGGACTGAAGTAGGGCAATTTTTTTTTCAGAACAAAAACCGGATGTTAACAGAAAGGGTTTATAATAGTTCTTAGTCTGATAACAAAAACCTGATTAACACACGTTAATTTATGCCGTTCCTTTTAAACTTTTATTACAAGATTGTAAACAATGATATGACTCATAATTGTACGTATAAATTAATATATTTCAAGCTATTATGAATAGTAATAAAAATAATTTTTAAAAAAAAAAACTAGTATTAGGTGCGCATAATTTATCTATGCAACTACTTATCGATAATTTTCATTAACAGAACATAGGTTTAAGTATCATCTGTAATGTCGATTGATACAAACACTTGAATCAATCGAAAAGGGAATTGTTGCGTATTTATTTATATGTGCCATCAGAGCTAAGACTTTATTTTTTCTAAATATTTGGCATAACTGCAGTCACTTCCACCTTAGTGTAAGGATATAACTACTCTCAGTATATAGTTAAAAGTGTTTATATATGTCAATATGTGTACTGTGTACCTAATGATAGGCCTCAAATCGCATCGCGCGTAAGTGCGCAGAAGGCATTAATAGTACAAACTATTGAAACAATGAATACGAAAAACAAAACCAATCAGAATTCAATTCTGATACATGAACAAATTTCTCGATTTCAAACTGATATGAATATGATATTATAGCGAAGATACCAATAAAACAGTGAGCTACGAGTTTCGTAAATAGTATACTTGTGAAGATATGAAGCAATAAACTTATAATTAATATTGTTTTATAGAAAACTGCACGGTACGTTAAATGTACCAATAATATTGTTATGGTTTAAAACTATAGTCAATAAACGGTTAGAAGTACAAGTGTTATATTATTCATTGGTTAGGTTATGTTTTACTCTTATCATTAAAATGAGATTTAATGCTGTCTTGGTGTGGAAAAAAATCGTCGTCGTGATTCAAGACTGACGTACCTACCTATAGATAAATAAGTACACCGAGTACATATCAAAATATTTGTCTAAAAATAATGCATTATTTCGCATACCCCAATGTTTATTCTGTTTTAAATAATTCGCGATTTCGATATTAGATTTTTTTTGTCTGTGGTAAACACATAGTTGCGTTGGATTGGCGATCAAGCGAGTGAAATGTAAAATGATATTTGCTCGTACCGTAGTGATGGGCCTGGAACGCTGCGGCCGCCGGGTTGGGCCACATCATTGCTGCAGCGGCTGCGGCGGCGGCGGCGCTTTGGTAGAACGGCGGAGTGGCGGCTGACGACGGAGACGACGTGATCGCGACATTCTGGTGTCCGCCGACTACATTACCGCCGTTATGGCTGTTGTTGTTGTTGTTGTTGTTGTTATTGTTATTGTTGTTGTTATTGTTGTGGACCGGCGAATCGGCGGCTGGAGTGGTGGCGGTGGCCACGGCCGTGACCAGGTGGTGAGCACCGCTCTGGTGATGGGCGGGCGCTGGTGAGTTGTGCCACGTTTGCGCAATAGTCGTAGCTGCCGGCACCGTAGTGCCCGATGTCGGCGGTGGTGCGCCGTACTGATGATGGTGCGCGAGTCCGAACATGTTTGGTTTAGCCAAAGGAACGTACACTCCTCGATCGTGATGTTAATGCCGGTAACCGTTTTCTGTAACTACGAAAAATACACGTCTCAATACATTATGCTTATTCAAAGGGTTTAAGCGTGAGTTGTATACCGTCCGTTAGCGAGCAAGGGCTTGGTAAAGTAGCACTACTCAAAAGTTAGGGCGTTATGGGTGAGAATTAGGGGCAGTGGTGGATTAGGGGGCAGGCTAAAAAGCTTATAGCCTAGGGCGGATTTTTTGGGAGGGCGGCTTTTTTTTTATAGAATTAAGTGTTATTATTGACTTATTAGGTAAATTTATTTTAATATATATTTTTTTATATTTGTCATATAAACACGAATAAAAATAATTTTAAAAAGTTATAATAATATATTAATAAGTATATTGTACGTATGATGTGTATCTATAGGCTATAGTAAGAATATTACAATTATTATTACAATTTGAAAATATTTCATTAGTAATAAATTAATTGCAGTCATTTAATAGTTATTATTAATAGCTTATTAGTACCTATGTACTTATTGGGAATATCCAACTATCCGAATATAGGTATTTTCATATCTGGCTATTTATATTTCCGTTATGTGACTGTATAAGGATTGTTTATTTGTACTGGTAATAATGGTATCTGAAGTAAGATAATAGATATGAAATATTTTATTTTTAGAAGTTTTCTATTTTAAAGATTTAATATTTAATATTTTTTTTTTTTTGATAAAAAAACTGAATAAAATTAGAAGAAAAGGGTTTAGACCAAATATTGTTGGTTCCTTAGTAGAGTGATTAAGCCTAGGGGCACCAAAACGCTAAATCCGCCACTGGCTAGGGGTACGTTTTCGGAAGTTCTATGGAATAATTGTAACGTTCTATTTTCGCTGATCTGACGAACTGATAATAGGACACTTTTATTATTTTCAATCAAAATCAAATGTATCTTGTGTTTAGGGGGCTGAGTGGGTAGCACATCGAGGTCCTATGAGAATTTTATATTATTATTTGAGGTAAATTCAACAATCCCCTTCCCCCAGAAATAAAAACAATCTATTATAAGTATAAAAACAGGTAAAATACCATTGATGATTTGTTTATTTGGCAAATCTTCGGTCCAGTAGTCAATACAAGACTAGGAGCCAATACGACGTCTCGTACGTGACTAAATCCAGCCGTTATTAGAGGAAAGGATTCAACTGATTCAAAATCATTTTTAAAACCCCCAACTAAATCGTTCAAATAGTTAAGTACTAACTAAAATTTAATTCCAAATGAATTACGTTAATAAATCGAATCTATAATAATAAGTTGAAAAATCTATAGTTTATATTTCACATACTATTGTTTTCATAACACTTTAGTCATTTTGTTCATGTGAAAAATGCATAGTTTGTTGACACGAACAGTTCACGAATATTTAAACCAACATGTTATAAATAATTCTAAAGATATTTAGATAATAAGGCACACATAAAATGTTTATATAATGGATAGTATATAGTACATCTTATATCGTAGAGTGTAATACACAAAATTAAAAAATAATAGTCCCCGCAGAAGATGGATCCACGTTAAAAAACTCAAGCAGTAATGTAACTTTTTAGGAATTATCAGTACCCAGCTTATTAATAACAAATATGTCATAACTTCTTGGAGCAGTTCATAAGAATATAGGGCGAAAAGAAATTATTTTTTTGTGATGTAACTGGAGTTATGGAGTCAATTATGTATCCGACTCACGAGATTAAACGAAAAATTTGCTATATGAAAATAAAATGCATTAAAACATTTAATTCTGTATGATTTTGCTATTTTCTTGAAAAGCTTAGCTCATAATACTGATGTCTATAGTTAATTATATAGTTTATCTAAAATAAATTGAAAGTAAATTCATATTTATCTGCTTTTATTCAATATCGTTAAATATCCGTCTGTCTTTTTTTGAACTGAATTTGGGCTTTGTTAATATTTTCTGGGATTGTGTATTATAATGAACGATGTTCAAAATTTACGGTAACGTAAAATATATTAATTACATCACGTTTACACGGTATGGTGACGGTCACGTTCGCAGAGATATATTTGTCAAGTTATTTTTTTTATGAAATTAGCAAAGTTATTTATGGGGAAAAACGACTGGACATGCTTTACGTATTTTTCGGTCCAGTAACTCACAATCAATCGGTCAAGGCTTCCGACCAAACATTGTTGAAAAGCGAACGCGGCGCAGTTATGTATCTTGAATCCATTATGCGTATACACCAGTGTACGTACAGATTTTAATTTCTGTTTAATGGTAGTTAAAAATGTTAGAATACACTTCTGGTGATGATATCATTTTTATAATCTGTTCTATAATGTAAAATAACAAATATTTTTTTTCCTTAAATATATTGTGACTAAGAATGTAAAAAAAAACATGTTGAATTTTACACTTTTACTTATATTGATATATATACATATTTTTTTAGGTAATAACGAAATTACAGTAGATAACACAACAATCATAGTAATTGTTTATATACTTCATAGCTTTTTGTGATTTACACGAAATTAGAATTTCGTAATATCAACAAACTTAAAACGGAACCTACTTCGTACTTATGATCAATTAAATACGAATTCAATATGTCACACAAACGATTAAGAAAAAAAATATACCATAGCATTTTAGGATAAAATACTATCAAAAATAGCTAAAAAAACACTCCAAATAATAATTATTTAATATTGTATTTTAAAAGTCCTTTCCTTCAAATACTGCAAAATATCTGATTTTTGGTATCAAATAATATTTGTTTTAGTGTTTATAATTTTATTTAGAGTATAATAACAAATAAATTACATTAAACATGATAATATGTAGGTGTGAGTAATTTATTTCTTAATAAATTAATTTCTATCGTTAAAATAAATTACGATTCTCATTCAAACACTTCATTATTTAAAGCAATTTTTTTTAATAATAATTTATTTTATTTGCAGTTTTATTTTGTAAAAGTTGTTTATGATATAATATTATTAACGATCATTTATGTTCGCTGAACTTTTAATTTGAGTATTATAATTTATTTCACCTCTGTTTTCACGCTTTGGTGTATTACATCGAGATTATTAGATGTTACTAAGATTATATTTCATTAAAATATTATTTTTATATTTAAACTGTTATATAATACTTTACTATTTAAAATAAATATTTTAATAAATAATAATCGTTATGTTTAGTACAAAGTCCAATTTCAATTATTACCACAGTGTCATATTATAGATCCTTTGTGACACGTTATTCGATATCATGCAATTACAGCGGAGTGATCAAGTTATTATTTAAACCGTCACACGTTTCATTATGGTGTTTTTATAATTATACTAGAGACTAGAGTGACTGTTGAACTAAATCAAGTGTTAAAAGAAAATTATATGTACCATCGATTAGATAATTATGAGTACAATAAATAACAGTGAAAATGAATACTTTTACAAAACTGAGTGTGCGATCTGCTGTTTAATAGTTATTAATAAGTTATATTATAATTACAATGTAACTTGTGATAATATTTACTCGTTTTCTCCCGAACGTGAAAAAATAGAAAAAAATCAATACAATTAACATGTGTAAAGAGCAAATGTTATGACAGTTAATGTCTTACCTGTAATGTATATGATAAAAAAAAAACTAAATTACGGTTTGACTCTCGAATTATGGTACATAAACAACATTAACAAATTATCACCGAATAATAACAATATAAAAAAAAAAGGCGAGTTAATAGTTTGAATAAAAATTAATGAAATAAAAAAATCAGGGAAATAATATGAAAACTAGTTTTCTCTATGAGGTCTGAGAGCTCAATAAAAATGTTTTCGAACCGACACTGCGGTTAATCGCGGGCGTAATCGCGACTAAATAGTAATTGTCGCGTTTCGTAGCGATCTGAGATTGCCTTTCGGGAATGTAAAATATTAATAATAATAATAATAGTAATAATCATAATAATGATACGTCAATCGAAAAAGACAACAATTTATGTACGAAACTCATCCGATTGAATTCTATAACGCATTTATCTCGTGCACAAACCAACGTATATGTGACGGTGAGTATATTTATTAATTTTATTAATATAACGCCCAAAGTATGTATGTGTATTCGTGCATGCTTATGAATAAGCGTGCGTGTGTGTGTGTATATGTGTTGGTGTGTATTATTATATTGTTGTACGAGAACGGTGCACGCGGGAAACGACGTGTCAAAGGCCAAGGCGTAAAATCAAATCGATAACGCAACGCACAACATTTTCTTAATCAGTCTTATCGTCGTTTTTTGATTTTTATATTTTATTTTTACGCATATGCATCATTCTCTAGAATCTAGAGCAACGTTTCTCAACCGGGAGTACTCGAAAAGATACGAAAGAATGCTAGGGGGAAAAAGGACAAAATGGTGGAATGTGTAAAAATTGATGTATTTGAATTAATAAAATGTTTATGAAAAATTTGATAACGAGCACTGTGTTATGGAAATGGGTTTTTCATCATACACATTCATTAAAAATAAGTAACGTAATAAATGTTTTATGAGTTTGAACTTACGAGTTCATTTATCATCTGTGGAACCAGATTTCTAAAACTAAGTGTTACAAAACAACCCTAAGAATCAAATTCAAACTAAATTGTAATATTAATATAATCTTTTTATATACATTATATATTTTATTTTACTCGTAGTTATTTATTTTATTTTTCATTAAAACTAATTTTATAATTTCTAATTAATCCTATGGGTATATGAATGAAAAAGGATGAGTAACGTTGGTCTAGAACAGTCATACTTAACAACTTTTTTATACCACAAAAAATATTTTAAAATATTTCACGAACCGTAAGTTGAAATGAATGGAACGGAAATTAAAAAAAAAAAAGTAAAAATAAATTTATTTATTATGCATGTTGTATTACATTCGAAAATTTACTATAAAAAAATTAAATTAAATATTTATTTTAAATTAGTGTCAATTTTTATACGAGATCTTTTTTTCACTATTTTGGATGTATTTGATTTGTAGTTGCTGCATGTTACTCTTTACAAGTCAAGATATGAATCAGTAAGCTGATTTCTGTACACATTATTTGCATATTTCATTTTTGAATTTGCGACACACTTTGATTGTTTTGTTATACCTATTTTATATTTATAATAAAAGTTTTCAAATTTATATTTTATTATTAATTCAATGAGTTCTGTTTGAGTCACAAATAAATCGTTGAAGGGCCGCGGGTTGAGTATCGCTGGTCCAGAGCATAATATCACCGCGTATGTACATCACTGCAGCGCACGTAATAAACACGGTATTTTATTTTTCAATCATTCCTAAGGTATATTTAACATCATAATTCTTATTACATTTTGAAAAATAGACGTTTGTTAGTTTACCAATGTTACTATGTTCACACGCATTCATTAATTTGAATAAACTTGATAAATCAACGCGGATTAAGGTGCGAGTGTATGTGACAATTTTCTACTCCCGAAGTTATTCCGTCTAAACCGTTTTTGCTCGTACCGATTTTTATCTCGATTATCATGTCAAATATTATAATATTTGACTAACTCGTAATTGACAACATTTAATTGAATTAATTGCGTAAAGATTAAATTCTTCGACTGTTCATCTGGGGAATTTATTAAAGTGTCCCCCAATGGGCGTCGTTCATAACCGTACACTTTCAAAAACAGGTCATCGTTCAAAACCACACACTTTTATATCTTATTCCCACATATTTTCGCCAAATCAAATCATTCAATACCGCACAAATTTATATATATTTATATATATTTATATATACTTATATATATATATCAATTACGTATACATTTATCTAAAATAACATGAGTTAACCTCGAGACTGAGCAGGGTCACTCGCTCACTCGGACAGTTAAAAACGAAAATATCCCCCGATTTGCTATGTAACATCACCACAAGTAGGTCCCAAAATAAATAAAAGATTTTGTGTGGGACTCATACGAAACCGGCAACGTGAACTTTACATGCAAAGTGTACCTAACCTAACCAAATGTGTGCGGTTTTAAACTACTGACCATTCAAATTTCGCTTTTTAAGAATAGAATAAATATGTGCGGTATTGAACGATGTAAAATGTGCGGTTTTGATGACCACCGCTCCCGATTTGCCTATATGCCCGCACATATACAACTGTTACATAAGTATATGTGAGTATACATAACGTGATTGCAATGTGCCGTAGTAATAATCACCCCAACGGTTTTTCCGAAGTTCTACACATACACACACACACACACACACACACACACACACACACACAACACACACATATACGAGTGTGTGTTTGTATATATAGGATATAAAAATGATTATAATATATTTATTTTTTTTATTACACTATATATTCACTATATTTTTTTTTAATTTTTTTTTTTTTATTAATGAGATTTTAACTAAAAATTATTATATGACAACAATTACATAAGTTTTGAGTATTGACAAAGGTTGACAAGTAAAAACAAAGACAGAATTGTAAGGCTCATACAATTATATTTTTAGTCCAGACTGTAAAATGAAATTGATAATGTGTTTGATTATGGATATATTACCAGTTGAAAGAGCAGTAATAAGGAAAGAAGGTATAGCAAGGGTGGAAAACTCCCTCTTTAATTGACTTCTACTATGGTAGAGAACAGAACAATCAAGTAATAAATGTTGAAAGTTACAGTGATTCCCCCCCAGTTTGGTAAAGGGCAGAACGAGCTGTTGTAAAGACCCAATTTAAATTAATGATTTGGTAATATGTTGTGGCCGGTGCGTAATCTGGTGTATTGAGTTAAGATCGCTCGACTTAATACTAGTGGTTATAACCATGAGCATGAAGGCACATTTTTTTGATACTGTTTTGTAAGTAAAATCATAGGACTCTGGAAGATTATCCCATTCTAACTTCCATAGCTTCTGTATAAATTTGCGGTGAATAGGGACCAGATCTATGTAAGGACACCAGAAGGGACCTGAATAAATTTGATTAGTGATGGACCCGGCTAAGAAGTCAGCGTACTCGTTGCCACTGATGCCAATGTGACCAGGAGTCCATAGAAAGGAAATGGTAAAGGACCTGATTTTTAGAGCTAACAGAGCTGTACGAACTCTTAATAATATGGAAGAGTCCTTTGAAAGAAAGGGGTTGTTGGTAATATATAACAAACTATTCATGAATAAATATATTCACTATTTTATAATAATAATAACAATAACAATAATAATAATTATCATTATCTATCATACGTGCTAGCATATGTGTTACGTATTACGTGGATAATATACTCACGCGTGTCAGTGCAGTCGACACTTGCGTTGGCGCTGGCCGTGGTGCTCGTCGACGAACGCTAGAACATGACTTCATCGCCCGATTGCACGGGCTGTTGTACGTGCGACGTAGATGTGGGGTGCAGTCACAGCCTAATCAACACGCACACACACACACACACACACACACACACACACACACACACACACA